GCTGGTGATGAGACTGGAGTGGGGGGTTGAAGGTGGGAGAGGGCTGCTGGAGTGGAGGAGCAGGGCAGATCTGAACCGGGTTGCCGTGGTAACAAATGGATGCAGGATGACTGGGAAATGAGCGTGTTATTAAATGCACCTGCGTGTTTAGACAACGTGATGAAGCCCGAACCGCAACGTGTAGGATTCAATGAACATTAGAAGTCAATACTGAATATGAAAAGAAGTCGTCAGTGATTAGAATAATATTGGAGGAAATTCAGCCATAGTTTTAGATTACATTTGGAAATACAACTTGTAGATTTTGAGTGGAACAGCAAAAACAGTTTCATATCAGGCTCATAATCTAGACAACATAGAGCATAAGTTGAGAAGCGGTAGAGAGGTATTTGAGAAAAATGTATAAGCAAATGTCAAAAACTATAATATTTTAGCTTTTTATGGCTGGAAACATCAAACTGGCAAATTCATATAAACCGACATATGTATGCAAGAAAAGGGCTTTCCCAAATCTAAAATGAGACTTGATCAAAAGCGGTACATGCATTATAGAAAAACACATAAGGCCCTTTGAATAAAGAGTGTTATCAAGGCTAACACATGCAAATTAGCAACCTTTCCTGTTGACATGCTAATGATTTACATATAATACTTATTCTTGGTATACAACCCGTGAAATAGAAAGTCAAAAATGTGACAGTATTTACCTGATCTTTGCTACGCTGCTGTGTCAAACGTCACCCCTCTACATAGAAAGTGTGATTTCGTCTGGCTCCTCTCTATCTGCTTCTATCCATCCCTGCCTCTGCACTGCGGACCCACCCCCCTCTCCAAACGCAGCAGCTGGAGAAAACCCGGAGAGAAGAGAGAGAGAAAAAAAAAAAAATCTGCGGATCTGGACTGAGCATGTACAACGCTGTGTGATCGCAGACAGGAAATAAAAGCAATGATGTCATCGTGCATCTGATCGGATTTGACCCAAACCGGTTCGTCCTTCTGAAAGGCACAAGGAGATGGAGGAGATAGAGGGACACAGCACAAAAGGCAGGGGAGTGATAAGGAGGCAAATCTACTTTATGTTATCAGGGGTATCTGGCAAAAGGCTTTTAATCACTGCCAGACGCTGTGATTGCTCTGGCCCCAAAGGTCACAACACAAAAGACATGTATTGACCAAGGAAATGAAGCTGTTATGTAGATAGGAGCCAGCAGCGCCTTTAACTGTGAGTGAGTGACAGGCCATTAGCAGGTGTTTATCCAGCTTCTAAACAACACACCAGGAAGTCAACTGTAATGCAAAGTCAGGAGGATAGGGAAATGTGCGGTTGAATGTAGGAAGATGCAAAGAAAAATGAAAGTTTACACAAGAGATTACGGCTAGAAATAAGTTGTTTTTAATACTGGATATTGATCTTATGGGGCTGCAATAATTGTGCATCCGTAAAAATATTTGCCAATGAAAAAATCAAGTTTAGTCTCTTTCACAAAACAGAAGCAATTTTGGCAACATTTCAAGCAAGAAATTGGTTGTTATTTTGTTATTTTAGCTATCTATTTAGCTAGCTTTAGCAAGTATTTTTTTTATAAGTTTGATCCATCTAAGTCAACAAGCAAATACAATTAAATTTTAGTTTTCTGTTTTCAAAATATCATTGTTGAAAAGACATGCAAAATCCTCTTTTTTGAGTTGTTAAACACATTTTACAACATTGTTCCCTCATCAAAAACAGACTGAGTTGTTCTAGTGCCATCCATGCTAATATTAGGCACCACAAGACTTTCTCCACCGACTCCCACTGATGTCTGCTGTCGAGAACACCAGATGCCACAGTGAGCCGGCTGCGGCTGCGGCTGTAAAGTGACAAACTGCCGTCGTGTCCTTAGGGAAGACACTTCACCCACATTGCTTAGAATGAGATGGTGTTGGTCTTGGTGGTGATCAGAGGGGCCGATGGCACTCACTGGTTGCCTCACTTCTGTCAGTGTCCCCCAGGGCAGCTGTGGCTACAGCAGTAGTTTACTACAACCGTGTATGGAGTGAAAGAATAATGACATGTAAAGCATCTTTGAGTGTCCATAAAAGCGCTATATAAAACTGATGCATTGTTATAATAATAATAATAATAATAATTATTATTATTATGTATGACTTCACATTTAAAGCTGTATTCTGCCTTTTATAACAAAAGTATTCCCTCAAAATGAATTTAGGCAATTCCTCCAGTGAAATTGCGTTCTTTACAACCACATGGCTGAATTTGCAATAATTCAACAATTATAAAAGTTGGGATGTCTAACTCTAAAACCACACCCTCTCCACAGACATGTCTTTTTTGTCTCTTTCAGATGTGATAAATGCCAACTCACTAAGCCAATGTTTTCACATTTATTCACAGAAGTTTCTCTAATATCTAAAAAATAGAGTTAGGTTCCCCAGCTTCAATCCTAATTGCAAACTGAATCATGGTAGATATTTTGCCAGGATAGTAAATTATTTGAGTTTATTTATTCATTCATCCTTGAAAGGCGATGAATGAAAATGTTCCTTGTGATCCTCCTGCAGGTGGTGGGTCCACGGAAGATGACTGCTGCTCCGTCAAACCGAGTTTATTTAAAGCAGCAGAATATGTTTTGTGTCAAACAGTATGCAGAGTCGCAGAGCGCTCTAGGGCCCCCTGGTGGAACATGTCAGCGACACCTCCCCAGGGAATAGTTCAGACATGTACAGAAGTCTGAACAGGGCAAACGAGCTTCTCCTGAAAGGCCACTCATAATGTCTGTTCCACAGAGAGCTCAGACATGAAGAAGGAATTTGTCCTGTGTAAAAAGTGTTAGCTATTCACACTATGAAAGATGGTCGAATGTTAGCATGGAGATTCAAACTCTAATACTGAAAAAACACTGCATATTACATCTGTTGCAGAACACTGAGCCGTATAAAGTCCATATCTTGCATTTCCTCATCGTGAGGATCATATAAACATGGGTTTGGTGGATGCAGTGTTTATATTTACTGAGCGTCGATCCACTTCCCTGCAGTTGCACTTGTGTTTGTGAAGAGTGCAGACTGGCCTTGATGTTTGGGGAGAATGTGAGTCAGTAAACAAAAACAGAGGTTCTCAAATGCCCGTTCGCTATTTTTGGTTGTAAAAATAGAAAATAATGTCTACAAGTGTGTACACAATTAATGCAAATAAGCAAAAGCCTCTTTCTGCTGATTGGACAAACAAAATGTATTATTTATGAACAAAAATGTAGCTTTAATAATATTATCAAACACACATCATCAAAACTTTGCAACTTGCTTCTCCCTTTTCTCTACAATGAGTTTAGAAGCACTTTTTACAACATTCAGAGACCAGGGTGCTTTGTTTGACATTCACTGTGAGCTAACAAGAGCACATAAACTGTAACCCTCCATTTTCTTAGCAATGAAGTTTGTTTGTTGCATTACTGAGGAAACATCTCCCAGCGTCTCGACCTGAGCTGCTCCCGTCCGGACGCAACTAAAACATTTAAAAATAATGAAGAAAATATTGAGATAAGAACTTATTTCTGGCTTTAGAACGGAGAGGAGCTGGTTTATTGTCAGGGGCGTCCAAACATTTTAGTAATAGGACTAAAATAGGACAATGACTGGATTCCAGAGGTCAGGTCCTTTACGACGAGGGATAACATGGCGAAGTGGACTGAACTGAAGTTGGCTGGATGACACAGTGAAAGACAACTTTGGGTGAGCGAGGCAGAGGGCCACAAGCAATGACACAGAGGGCCACAATTTGCTCGTGGGTCTTAGTTTGGACATACCTGGTTTATGTCATGTTCTATGTCTATAATGTACAGACAAAGCGAGACAATCCATAGACTGTCCCCATAGAGACAAGGTTGTGAAAGACTCCCTACAAACACCAAATTCCCCTGGTTCTATAACTTTAATTCCTGTTTCAAAATGTGTAAAGTAGACCTTATAAATATATGACAACACAGCAGCCCAACGGTGCCCTGTGTAAAACAGGAGGAAGGACAGGTGATAAAGTAGAATCATATGTCCCGGATGTGCTGGTCCTTTACAACATGCACGAGATGGGATCATCTGTCTACTGCAGCTTTACTCTGTCTCTATATCTCTGCTCGGGACACACACACGGGACGTCCTGGTTGGATTTGTGGTTCTGAGGTCTTGGTGGGAGCGTGCCTCTGCTGATGTACAACCTATCCGCCTCATCTATTATAGCGGGATCCAGTGATCTATAGGGAGCTCTGAGCCAATATATTAAACCGCACAGACAGGAAACACTGTAACTAAAGCTAATGTTGGCGGACATGCTCATAAGACGCAGCAAAGATGGGGCTTGGATTACAAACATGCATTTCTGAGCATTGTGGGGGGGGTTGAATGTCATACTTATAACTGCACAAGGGATATATACTGTAGGTGCTAGATGCGCCATTGGGCATTGAATACAACTGATTTTAACTGAATTTGCCATAAGAAGAAGGAATACGGACAGTCTATATAATGGTGTCGGACTGGGTTTAAATAATTCACCCATGGAACTTATCTTCCCTCACAGAGTTCCGTCAAGGGACAGTTATGACCAGGGGGAATATATATTTTTGGATTGCTGGGTTAGGAAAGCAAGGAGTCGCACACTGCTCCATTGTAGTTTTAATACTGAGGTTTATCGGCATTAGAACGGCTACAATTTTGGTTAGGGCCAGTGGGTTCGGTGTCTCGCTTCCGTCATCACCGTGTGTAGTAGTAGTAGTAGTTTTTTTAAGCAGTTTTACAATGTATTTATTTTTACAAGTACATATCATTTCAAGAAACAGAGCTCAAAAGGAAAAGGCAGACGCAAAAAGATTACACGTGTATCAGATATCGGAACAATATCGGAACTCTGAACATTGTAAACTTTGGGTGATCTTGGTCAGTAAAAATGTGGTGTATAATAAAAGATTACTTACTTATGAATATCAGTAATGGGTTGTGTCTCAAAGCCTACGAGCTGGAGCGATCTAATGCCATGGTTGACATCACACGCACGCACACTGTATATTTGCCTATAAACATCTGCTGCAGAGGTTTGGGCGTCGGAACGAGTGCTGAATCATCTGAACGCAGCGCAGATCAATACCACTTTGAGACGATTACCTCTTGGCAGCAAACGCACAGTCAATCCCGTGACCCTGGCCACGATAACTACACCGACAGCCCCAGCAAACAGGCCTAAATGATCAGTAATAGCCCGACACAGTTTTGTATCCCTAAACAAGGACCTCACCACTACACATTCATAATTCAGTGTTTTAGCGCAAAACAAAAGCAAAGCGGTAAAACAATGGGGAGATGTATGCTAATAAATGCAATCATATGCAGCCAGAAGCCTCCTCTCTGCATCACTGGTTTCCAAAAGGTGGGAGGTTGCGTTTAGAGCAGTGTTGGGATTCAAAATTAGCTTTTAAAATTCATGCGCAAGGCTCCCATATATGTTTTTGAATGAGGAAAGTAATAAAGGAGTGGGACTGGGTTCAAATCAAATAATAAATGGAAAAGTAGTTCAAATTAGAAGTGTGCCTTGAAATGTTCTGCAGCGTGACATTTTTGCATAATGCTTTATTTTCCCCCCTTAAAATTAATGAATCCCTTTCTGACAAAATATGGCATGAATACTTTGTTGAAATCATACAATCTTTTTAGCAGGTGGTTTTTAAATAATCCCTCAACGAACCCGGGCTTGGGTACCTAACTTTCGAACCACAGAAGCTATATATATGCAATAAAATCCATAGTTCACGGCTCTAAAAGTGTTAGTAACTAGTTTTAACATGCATGTCTTTTTTGGCCTGTCTCATCTTTAGATTTGCTTTTCTAAACAGCCAAGAGGCAATCGAAAAAGAGAGAACCGCCCACACTCAACCAATCTTCTCTCAAATACTGACTCACAGGGCTCTTTCCTACTAGCAGGCAAAATGTAACATGTTTTCTAACAAGGTGAGGACTCATCAATTACATTTTTTGTAGCCCTAAATCACAACAATAGTTATCTCAGAGGACTATACAAAGTGAAGTTAAATTAAATGTCTCGTGAATAATGTTATTTGAACGATCATGTATATACCTACATTATAATCTGTTTAAAAGAATAAAACATCAGCCTGCCCAGGGACCACAGGTGGAAATTAGCACCTTTGCTATAACCTGGTACAATACATCTCTCCTTTGTGTTCATGTTTAATTGTACACTGTCCCTGCTCAAATAAAGTACATACCATACCATGTTTAGACAGTATGTTGTCTGATTTGTTTACTACATTTTACTATTGGGACAAACAACGTGTGTCATTTATGAAACAAGTGCGTGTGGATGGGGAAGTCTGGGCGTCTCTGCTTAGACTGCTGACCCCGAGACCTGGCAACGGATCAAGCAGAAGAAAATGGATGGAAGGATTAAAAAAAAGTTGGGAATACTAGCTTTAAAGCCTGCATTTCTGAATATTTTAGTGGTATAATGGAAAATGATCCGTGCACACGTGATGAATTTACAGCTATATTTTGTCTGTGTCGGCTCTGACCAACAAGGACCGTCAATCTGCTTCTCTGTGACCATTGTACATCGAGTGTCTTTCCCAGCGACACAACAACAGCCTGGGTTTGAGCCTTAAACCCTCACCCTCTGTTTGTTGGGCAAAAACACATCCACTCTGCCACCGCTTGATGGAAAAGCACAAAGCACAACTGTATCCCACTTTTGCATCCTCATTGAGTAAATCTCACTCTGAACACTGGCTCCTGTGTCCGCGTGAATGAGAGGACATTTTCAGAGTGGTGTCACAGAACCGGCTGGGACCGACCTGATGAGATGCAATTCTCTAAAGTGGTGGCTTTTGTCCTCTGTTTGCTCTGTGTTTACAAGAAACACGCTCTCTTCTACATCTACAATGCATTTCCAAAGAGACGGGCAGATGGCTGTGCAGACAAGAGGGTGTGTTAAGCAGCCGCAGAGCTTGAACCCATTTCTCAACTTGCTTCTTTACCAAACTTGCAACATATCACGTAACACTATGCAAATTTCACATTGCCGGGAAAGAGTAAGTCAAATCTGTTCTTGTGTGTCAGCAATTATAAAACCCTCGTGTCAGCGCCAGGCTTGAATTACAGCACGCTTTTTTTGCAAGGCGATAGGAAGGCCAATACTTTCTCTGTAATTTAATAATAACGTCGGTCAGTACGTTTACATGGAGTACAGGACAATTGGCTAAAAGCCTGAATCTGATATAAATCAATTGTTTAAAAAGGCATGTAAACTTGAGCAGGTCGATTGAAAATGTGTTGAATTGAATATCCCAAGTTGTGTTGTGCGCAATGGTCGGTTAGTTCCAAAAGACAGCAGGAAACTTACAAGGAATTAGCTTGAAAAAAAGAATGAACAGTTTGGCACACTAAAGCAGCATTGCTAATTGGCTTGAAGACAGCATTTAACCTCGTAGGGTCAGGACGACTGATTTGTAGGATTCTTTCTCATGCACAAGGCTTTATTTCAGGACAATTAAAGCTGGGGTACCTAACTTTAAAACTACTTAAATGGAACTATGTGGAAAATGTTTATTATTCCTCACTCACAACAGTTCACTATAGATTTCACATGCATATATTTGAAGACTGGTCAACCCAACACAAGCCCAGTCGACTGAAGGGGGCGTGGCAAATGCCTTTAAATGATTAGGTATCTATACCAAACTGCACCAAAAACTGAAAAATGTTGTAATTAATATAACATGTTGTATAAACATGTGAAATAAGTTTGACGGGGTTGAATATAAAAGTAAATGTCAAAATCTGCAGCTGCTTTGCTCCATAACATTTTTTGCAGTTTCACAATTATAATTGAAATAAAATAATTAGTTAACTGATGCAAAATTTTGTCGACTAAGGAACCATCCACTGATAAAACTTACGAACAACTTAATATGAGCCTCAGACACATCATTAGATCAACTTTAAAGTGATTGTCTGGAGTTTGTCAGAAAGAGAGACAGAGAGGTACTTGATTTGAAAAAAACGACGCAAGCTCCCTCCCCCTTCCTTTCTGATTGGTCTACACCTACGTTTCCGTAACACTTTTAAATGTTAATCGGAGAACACATTATACATATATATTATTAATACACATGCATGGAAGTTTTCAGAATTATTTGTTAACGTTTTAATGGAAAAAAATAATGTTTTTATGCACAAAAAAAGCGATCGCGGCAAACCCGGAAGTGTTATAATCATGAATTGCACATTATAGGACACATCTGCAGACGATCTGATTATGGATATAGGTTCAGTATATACATGATTATGGATATAGGTTCAGTATATAAATGATTATGGATATAGGTTCAGTATATAAATGAGTAACTCAGCGTGGATGTTCAGAATTCTTTGTTCATTTTTCATGTAGTTCCAGAGCCTAATGGAGGCTTGATTCGGAGGCTCCGCGAAAACAGCCCTTGGCATGACTCGATTGGTTAACCTCTACGGCACCGTGGATTCTGAACTATAGCTAAGAGAAGGGAAGGCGGGACTTGCCCGTAATATTAGAATGAATAAAATGACTTATTTTATATCAACATTTAAGGCCAGGAGGTCAATTTAACACATTTCCTAAAATGTGTAATTCATTTAGAGTTACAGACTATCACTTTAAAGACAGAAAAGTGAAAAAGAGCGGACCCCCCTCACTCCAGCCAATCAAACGGTGACTCACAAGGGTCTTATGCAAAAGTTTATGTATTATAATACAATGATGGATTTGATTTGTTCACAACATTTCACAATCACAAAACTCTTCCTGGAAAACATGGATTATTTATGAAACAAAAAATGCTCGCCAGCTTTAAGCATCCACCCATGAACTTAACACTTTTGCCATTGTTCTCAGCTGCACTTTCTCTCTATATATCTCCAACTCAAACAGACCAGAAATCATTTTGACAATGACTTTGGCTCGTGCGTCCTCGGAGCATCTGTGCCGAGTTAGTGGGGCAGAGATGGATGGTCCTGTTCGCCGCGTGTGTTCCTGGACCGTGCGTGTGTGTGAGCTCTATTCCCAACAGAACCTCTTTGGGGAGAACGGGAGTCGATACTTGTGGCATGTGAAGTGAAGGTTGCTATTACTTGAGCCTCACTGACTTTCTGTTGAGTTAGAGGACAAAGGAGACCGGGAAAAACGAACTAGGTGGAAAGATTTGTGTTTTTATGGATCTAATGAAAGGAGGCAGGTTATAAATGCAGAAATGTATCTGCAGAATGAAGCTAAACTCAATAAACATGTTACAAACTAGCCATTAAACAGTCAGTAAGCCTGTAAATAGCTGTGTCAATGTATTTCAATGGTTCCTTTGCACTATTCTAGTCAAAACTGCTAAATAGTTCAACATATTCTCAAAAACAGCCAATGCAGTTGGCTCTATAACACATGAAAACAGTGAAGGGTAATTTTATATACCGTATATAACTAGAGGGGTTGAGTAGAGTGCTCTGAAGACCTCTAGTGGACATCATGTGTTATTACAACCACAAACACGTTGATCAAAACAAATGGGCAGTAATGCTTATGATACATTTGAATGCGACTCTATAAAGTTTACAAAAAGCAGCAGCAAATAATTTTTTTTTTTCTATGTAGATTATAAAGGTGAAAAATGTCAAATTTTCAATGTGAGATATGACTCATTATACACAGTGAGATATATCAAGCCTTTCTTTGTTATAATATCAATAATTGGGCATTATTATGGCTTTTCTCTCTTTCGTTTTTAAAATTGTATTTCTCTAAACAAAAAGCCATAATCATCAAAACTGTTGTTATTACATTTGTCACTTTGCACTTTAAATATTTGAAGGATATTCCAATTTTTTGAGTTTCATCTGAAAGCATATAGACACATCTGGATAAAAAAATATTATCAATTATTAGATGTTAGTCCTTAGGCAAGACACCTCACCCATATGTCTTGTGTGTGTGTGTGTGTGTGTTAGGATTAGGGTTAGGGTTCGTGTGTGAATGAAAGATGGAGGTCAGATCTTACCACAACCATGCATGCAGTGGAAGAATAATAGCATTTTTTGTTCTATCGTGTGAAGGCGAGTGCCGGTTGTATGCTCAGATGATTGTCTGATTATATGTAAAAAGTAGAAAAAGTAAAATAGGTTTGCAAGACTTTGAGGTGTGGGACCCACCGTGGACTTTGCCGAGGAAGAGTGTCTTGACCAGGTTGAGCTGCGTGTCAGAGGCATCAGGGAGAGTGTAGCTCACCGTGGGGTAATGGTCCAACTGCAACACACACACGCACACACACAAACACACACACATGGGTCAGTTCACTTCAAACAGCCACACTTTACAAAGACCTGCTTCAAGGTTCACATCAGCACATTTGAGATCTGTAGTAATTCCCCAGTGCACTGTCTGTGTAATAAGAAGTGCAATGTCGCCCTCTTGTGGTGTTCAATATAAGAGCAGTTTGATGTTGCCCTTTCCCTACTTTTTAGACCTCTACCAAAACATGCAACACAATGTCATATAGCGAGCATTTTCAACTCGAACATAAATCAGATACAAAAGTTTTTTCAGTTTTGTATTTAATGATCACTGTGAGTTTAAACTTAGCACCTCCAAACAATAATATACTATACAATATAATCTCACAATCAATATGTGTTTTGAATAAGATTGATTGCACTGAATAAAAAGGACAACAGTAAATTGTGGTTTGAAGGTGGACTCTTAAAGCTCGGGTACTTAATTTTCAGAGTGCAACAAAGTAACTTTGCAACAAAATCCATGAAACTAGTGCCTCGCACTTGTGTTACAAATATTCGATTTTTATCAGCAGGTTTCACAAGCAAATATTTTTGGCACGTCTTTAAATCAGCTTCTTCAACCTGAAAAGTAAATGAAGACAGGCTCACCAGTTTTTATAGATTTATTTTATCTTAACTATATACAATCTACTTTTTGTTTATTTTCTCCTTTTTTCTTATTTTATAAGTAGGTAAGTAAGTAAGTAAGTATTCTTTATTTAGGGGCTGGTGTTAAGTGAATTGGGTGCAGCTCTGACTGCCACCCCCCCGACCCAGAAATGGATTAAGGGGAAGAAGATGGATGGATGGATGGTATTCTTTATTTACAGACCACCTGTCACAGATCAGAGTCACAAAGCGGTATACAATTGCTTTTTTTTGGGCATTTGTCCTCTCACTTCACACAGAGATGGGAGCGGGGTCGCCAGTACAGGAGGCGCATGCCAGACCTATTGTACACGTTTTTATTGGTAGGGGAAACCGGAATACCCAGAGAAAACCTACAGAGACACGGGGAGAACATGCAAACTCCACTCAGAGAGGCCCTGTTTTGACTGGGATTCAAACCCAGGACCTTCTTGCTGAGAAGTGAAAGTGCTGTCCACTCAGCCACCCGTGCTTGCATTGTCTGTTGAATGTTTATTGGTTACTGTATGACTGCAAAAGAAAACGGATAAAATATAAAATAAAACAAATTTAATTACAGTCCTGAGCCCAAAGCATCCAACAGAGACTCACTGGGCTCTTTTTTTCTTCTGTCCAACAAGTACTCCAACATGTTTTCTCATAAGCTGCATCATGTTTTAGTGTAATTTGTTCACAACACTTTACTCTTACAACACTCTTCCTGTAAAGACAATCAACATTTTTTAGTAACAAAAAAGTTAGCTACACTGGCTCTAATAATGCTCCGCAGCGCGCGTCTCGCTGCTGCTGTTCCCTCTCCCTCTGCTGCTGCCGAGCCGAGCCCTGCCGAGCCCTGCCGACTGCTGCGGCCGTCTTCACCCTAAAAGCTTTATACACACAGGTGAAAACCACATGATCCTACCACCAATCACCAATATAATTATAATTTACAAAAACACACCTTTCACGTTTACTATTAATTTCGTCCATATTCGTCATGGCCATTTCAACTTCCCTGAACACTCTGCTGTTGTACTCAGGAGCCATTCATTTTTTCAAACCTGATTTTTGTTCAGCTAAAAATAGGCATCTGAAAAATGCCCCTCTGGATTTACATAGTTAATGTGTTATACGGTAGTACGATACGATAGCTTCTTTGTGTTTTTCACGTATTTTACTCAATAGCCTAATCTGTGTAAATTAATGGTTTATCTTCTTGCCTAAATCTCGAAACATGATAGGCTGCATTACAATCCCGTGGTATTTTTTCAGACATAATTGTTATTATAAAACAAACATGCAACTTTAGTGAAAAGATGCTAAATATACCTAAAAATCTCACTATTTATTCATACTTTTAGATATAGATTTAACATTATGCCTGATCTGGGGGTTGTCTTGCGCGCGCGCCTCTGTGTGTGTGTGTATGTGTGTGTGTGTGTCTAAAAACATTTTTAGATGCTAAATATCGCGATGGAGGGGGACAAAACTTATCTATTTTTTGGGGGGTTTTTTTGTTTAAGGCGACATTTTCCCATATTCTCTCCGCTGCGATTCTATAGAAGTTACAGTCTACTGGTTTCCAATCCGCACTGGAATTTAACCCTGAAACGCCAGCAGCAGAAGAATGGCTGGTCTTTGCTTCCAGCCGCCCAGCCGGCTCCTCTTATCAACCTCAGGCTCGGACGGGACGAAACGCACGCCGCCATTCATCACGTTCAAAACATGGACTCATTGTCCAAAAGTGTCTGCGTCGCAGCCTCCTCAGTGTCCATTCTAACTTGATAAAGACACATTTACAAGCATGCTTTATGTATAGTCTCTATAGACGTTATCATCTCGAACTCAAGTCCCCGATTCTTGCTCAAAACTAAAATCAACACCCGACTTTGTGCTAAAAGGTCTCTGTCCCCTCACGTCATGTTTCCCCTCTGAACCATTTCAGTTTACGTGTACTTCCATGTTAACTTCGTAGAACTGTCAAGATAGCTGATTCAACTGTTTTAAATGCTCGCTCAAATTATTTTCGTTTTCTACAATCTTTCACTATATGGCATACACTAACTTTCTGATGGTGGAAAAGCGTCTGTGATTCCACTTAAAAGTTAAAACCATTTTATAGAACATTTTCTGATTAGAAATGTTTGTATTGGAGAAGAGTAAACAAACAGAATGAGGCCTCCAGGACAAGTACAGGTTTGAGAGGAGCCCAGTCACAGTTTGATACTTGTTTTATACTTTCTTCAATGGCTTGAAAACACTCAAAGTGAAAAAAGTCATCTTATTCTAACACGCCTGAAGGAATATATCTGTAGGTTAATTAATGAACAGAAACAATGAGGAAAAAATGACACCAGTATCTTTTAATGAAAACCTTTAAAATCTTAAAAAAGAAAGTGCTTCAGACATCAACCGTTCAAGTTCCCGATGTCTTTTCGGCCATAATTCTCAACAAGACTCATAAGAAATTACATAAAAATAAATATTCAGTTTTATAAACAACCAGTGACTACAAATGTCAAAAACCTGACCTCAAGTATTTTGTATCGCACAAACAAGAAGGGCAGGGACGAGGGAGCAGACCCAGCTTCTCCTTTATTGTTTACATTGATTGCAGCGACACTCCTGAGAGTATTTTTTTGTCTTTATGATGGAAAGGGCCTCCCAGGCCGTTACTTCCATCTTGTATCCGAGGAAGGGCGCTTTGAATCGAGCGTGAGAATAGGTTGGAGCGGCAGAGGGGTGAGCCACGGGCGATCATCCTCTTCCTATAGCCTATCTGCTTTTGACATGCGGATTAAAGGTCGAAGACTCGCAACAAGGAGACTCCCCCTCGACCCTTCATGTGCACCCCCTCTGTTTCAACAACTTGCCCTGACTGCTTTCAAAAATAAATCAATTTGAAAATTGGGTTGAGACTTAAGCACTATATGCCTACACAGAGTGTATGTCTATGTTTAGAATCCTACGCGGGAGAAAGGCTTTAGTTGATCATGCCCGTCCACAGAATGCAGGAAGAAGAGTGTGGCGCTACGTGTGTAGGCCTATATAGCATAAGTTTAGGCTTACATTCATAGCTATGAAGCTTAAGGCTAAAATATTGACAATTGAACAATCTATCATCATCCAGTGATTTCACAGCTGAAACTAGACTCCCAGCAAAGTGCAATGCATGCTGGTCTCTGGAGTGCTTAGGTATATGGTGTTTTTAGTGATTCACAAAAGGTGGTTTGTCTGTTGTCTTTTCCAGGTCATATTGCTTAATATTGTTCCAAGGCAGGTCTATAGTAGCACTTATGGCCGCATGATTTAGGCGAAGAGTTGGCGTGCACATGTGGCATGGAATGGTGACATGATTGCAGTGTCAAATGGAAGCCTATCTGTTAAGAATTGAGGATTTGATTGTCTTAATGCAAATATGACGAATCTGGCATGTCCAGCTTGCCAGGAAATGGATCAATAAACTCACGGGCACTAAAATATATCATTTTTTGGTGAAACTGACAGCCAGGTAAGAATCAGTATGTGGAACCATTTTCATTTTGAATCAAATGTCCCACAATCGCTACAAATTCCCTTTTGAGACAAAGCACATCAGTACAATCTGGCAGTGGGAGCATACAATGCGCATGTCAAGTATACAACAATACAATGCACATACACAGGCTTAGGATTGATAGCATTTAAAAATGTCTAAAGGTTCTAAGCAAAAATCCATCATGTCTCGCGTATTGTCCGAGCGCTACAAAAAACCCAAATAGAACTTTCATCAAGGGGAATGTAAATCCATTTACAGAAACACAAATATTATCCTTTAGTTAACATATTTAACGCACAGTTCTTGATGCACAGGAGACGCGATCTGATGGATTAAAGCCGCGCATTGAGCTTTCTTTAACTCTTATTTCCTCGTTCTTGCTGCGGGTGGGGGAGGGAAAATGTGTCCGCCAGGCTGCCACTTCCACACGGGGTGGTGCTGAGGGGGAGGCTCGGAGAGGCCCCTCAACGAGTTCAGGGAGTAAGCAGGACACAGATCCCCGTCGCTGCCAACAGTCAAAGACGGTGTGGACGGGAAATGTGCCATTAAACGGAAAGGGCTGTTTGCTGGAGGAGATGCAGTCACAGCGCATGTGCTGCGTTTACGCCTGCTCGGTAAATCCAGCATCTGTGAATCTGGAGATGACGGTGACGATATCGAAGAGGAAGGAGTACTTCTTGGCCTGTTTTGTTTTGTTCTGGGAGTTCTTGATCTCGTCCCTAGCACCACCGTTTTACAGTTTCTAGTCCTAATGTGCCCTCCTTCCTTTGATGTGTCCTGTGTGCTTCTACATTCCTGGGGGCCATATGGGGACGAAGGGACTACATTCGTATTCTGCTCAGTTACGTTTTTTAAAACGTGTATATTTATGCGTTTACATCCCACTGCTGCGTCGTGATACTCATAGCCATCACAACTTTCCTCTTTAATTTTCACATTCTCGATGTTAAAGGGGGGCGTTTTACATATCCTGACGCTGTGTGAGTGAGGGGCAGTCGTAACTAGAAACTCTTCAGGCTCTGTTTTGATTTTCTTATGTGGACTACTTGACAATTTAACGTAGGGCGTTTTTGAGTCATCGATTGTGTCGATACATTTGCCTCTCTTGTCGCCTAGAGAACCGAGTCCTTGTGTTTTTTTGGTGAATAAAAGTTCTTTTGTTTTCAACAAGCCTTGAAATAAAGTGCTCTGCTTTAATCCTAAGTGGTTATCCACTGTCCTGATGGAATCAAACACCGTTTCCGTTTTGGGTTCGGTGAAGAAACTGGGTTGAAGGGGGTTGAATGTTGTTGGCTGCAAAGGTCCAAAGTCCTTTTTAGGCGCACTGCATTTCAGGTCACTTTGAGAAGGGTCAACGAGGTCTGGCTTGTGCTGTTTGTCCTGATTGTTGTAGTGAAACGTTGGCTGGAGGACCAAAGGTGCTTTGTTGATAGTTTTGATTGAAGAACCGACACGGGCCCGTCTGAAGCGAATACTCTGAACAGAGACCCGGCTGGACACAGAACTGGAGTCGGACTGAGAAGAGCTGTCCTCCTCTTCGCTGCTGACCTCTGTACTGTCAGACTCTTCTTCCTCCTCGTCCTCCTCAGAGCTGCTGCTGCTGGAGAGGCCCGAGCCAAAGTCCGAATCCTGGTAGTCCTGGGGGTCCTGATAGTTCTGATCACCCCGCTCCGAGTAAATGCTTGACTCGGTGTCGCTGGTGTAGCTCCCCGGAAAACTCTCGTGAGGCTCATGGTGATAATGCTGAGGTCTGTGATCAAAGTAAAACTCTGGACTGAAGTGAAAACTGCCAAACGTAGACCTCGAAGATTTGGGATGAAGGAAAAGCAGTGGGGGTACATGGTGCGTCTGTTTGCTTCTGCTCCACGAGCGTTGTCTGCCGCCGTCTCTGCCGCCGCCCCCCTCACGCCTCCTCTTCCTTTTGTGAAGTAGGTCGCCGGCTGAGCTCGACTGCTTGGTCTGAGTGGCAATGGCGGACTGAAGCAAAACCGGCTGCCGGCTCACAGAGCTCCGGAAAAAAACATGTCTTTGGCTCCACGTAATACGTTTCCCTTGTATTTTGTCGTTTTCATAGTTTTTGAAGTGTTTGTGACTGGGCCGAACAATAGAGCGCTGTTCGCGCCCCATAGATTTGTGGTAAAATTGAGGTAGTTTGGAATCACTGCGCTCTTTTCGTTTGCCCAATCTGTTGTGACCCGCGATGGTCTCCGGGACGCCGTGCAAACTAAACCAAACTTTTTGCTTCCACATTTCGGCATCAGTACGGAGGAGATCTGGGGGTGTCTCCTTATGCTCGGGCGCACATGCCACTTTTGCTTTCCTTTTGCTCGACTTTAACACGCGCTCCGTTTTGCAAGAGATATACAATGCCTCCACATCCTCACGCGAAATAAGTGTACATTTAGCTGCATGAAAAGCTATAGAGTTAATTGCTTTGAGCTTCCTAAGCTCTTCTATGTCGCAGTGGTGTTTTTTCACCTTCAAATGATCCATGCGCTTGTGCACCGTGGTCCGAGGAATGTTCTTTAGAAGGTCTGTGAAGACCTGAGACAAAGCAAACATTTGCTTGCCTTTGATAAGCAGGTATCCCAACCTGACTCCTTGCATTTCCTCAAAGCCACTCTCCAAGTCTCCCATCTTGACTTTATTAATTGTTATTCCATATCCGCTCTTTTTAGTCTGAACCCTTCGAATGGCATCCTCCTCGTGTCTTCAGATCCTCACTCTGCCACTGCTGTGCCATCAAACTGCAAACTTTGACACGCAGAGTTAAATGGAACAACCGGCGTCACGAGCCGATAGCGTTCACGCGTCGCCTCCCGCCGCTGTCCATGCCGGCAGAGGAATGTGACGGATGCGTTCCCCGGGCTGCAGGTTCTTGTCACCTGGTGCTGTGTGTGCCTGCTTCACTCCCCTCGGCACGGCAGCAGGACTACTGCTATAGGTGTACCACTGCTTCAGTCATAGAGATGAAATAGCAAGAGGAGAGAGAGGACTGTGAGGTGGAGGGAGGGAGGGAGGGAGGGAGGGAGAGATAGAGAGAGAGAGAGAGAGAGAGAGAGAGGGGCAAAAGAAGAGTTAAAATGCAGCTGCTATTCCTGCTGCTGTTGAGCCACAAATAAAATGACAGAGAGGGAGGTGCACAAGTCGGGAGACACCTTCATCAATTAATTCCTGCGGTGAAGATACCCATTGGATGCCGCTGACAGGTGATGCAACATAAATGGACACATCTCCACCGTATTTCTGCTCTCAGCTCGGGTCCTACCACAGGTTTTATAGCCCATTGCTCGCATGTGGGTCAGGTGTCCTCCACCAGTCACACTCTCTATGAAATAATCCCCTCATTGCTTGGATAAATTACGTAAATATAGCATTTATTAATGCTTAAAGTGATGCGCCTCTCCTCGTGTTATTAAGTTATTATTATAGTTAATTATAATCACATCGAATAAATTACACCCCGTTTTGTATATTATATTATTTAGTGGGTATATTGTATTTCATATCAATATACTAAATCTACACGTACACTGTGTGTGTGTGTGTGCGTGTGTTCGTGTGTTAGTATGTGTGTGTGTATGCATGCGCGCATTTTTCCGCTAACAGCCCATCGTACTTGCACTTAGGTTGCGTTGGATTTGTGTTGATATTTTACATCACAAGGGCGACGTGGACACCAATTAGTTATTGAGCAACACATCCAATTGAAGATTTCTCAACAATATATCATTATATAAAATTGTCCTACCTTATTATCTTATATCAAATAATTTTACGGTGGACTGAAAGTCTACCACACATACAGATATTTATTGTTGTAGCCTTTTAGGATAAAACTACAATTTATGGGAGATATTTTGGATGCGTAATTTGCATTTGGCTTACAATTGAATCCTTTATTTTGTAGGTCTGCATGTTTTCTGGACCACGTTATTTTTGTTACTACATATTCGTTATTGTAAAGGGATCCCAAGTTTATTCAAAAACTCATGCGCATTGTTAGATGTTTAGCATTGCGCACAGAGAATGCTTAGGGTCAACATACTGAGGTCTGCAATACCCCAGGCCTCGAAGGCAGCCTCCTTGACTATTGTGTGCCCCCAGCCGTTCTTCCCTCTGTCTTACGATCCGTCTTTGTTATCTCTTAACACGTGAATTCCTTGTGGTATGTTAGCACATTGAGAAAAACTCAAGTCTGTCTAATTCATTACAAAAATAAGTAATTTGATTTTTACCCAATTGCTAATATTGTTTCAAACAACGCAGGTTGTGCAATGTTCAGACTGCACGGTCACGTAAAGCAACTAAAGGTCTTTAAGGTCTTCTATACTTCTATGCTATACGCGGATCAAACCTCCTCGTGTGCCGATGTGAAGCAGGCAGATTTTCGCAGAGGCAGCACACTGACGTGAGGAAAAGGAGGGGTAATTTGTTGAGGTACGAGTCCCCCGGGGAATAACATGATCCCATGCGCCAAGGTGCAGCGTGCCCGAGCGGGAGATGCAGCTAGACAGAGATCGAGGCTTATGTTATCCCACATCCGACTTCGGCACGTCTTTGCCGGAACCAGGACATAACGATCTATTTCACTGTGATTTCACCTCATGCGCTACATTTTAGCCTGTTTTAGCCTCGGATTTTCACACATGATCAAAAAAGTTGCATCGAGACCTCATGTTCTCACTCGTTGTGAGTTTTTGTCAGTATTATTATAAGCCTATTTGAGTTTTCCACAACAAATCACCATAGTTTTAAGCAATACGTATAGCTCTCTTCCCATATCTGTTGAAATGCTAATTTGCCTATATGTTTACTTAAGGATCATTCTAAGCTCTCGCAATTAACCGTACTAATTGACTGTAATTCAAAACGAAATATCTAACCTGAATCAATAGACTCGTAATGTCAGCTATTGTAGGCTAAACAATATTTTATTTCGTAGTCTATAATGGGCTCATTTACATGTAGATTTGGTACCAATGGAGGGAAAGTTTATTTGTATGGCACAATTCATACACAGGGTTTACACATTGGTGTGTCGGAAGGAAAGAAGCAAACAGGGAAAATCACAAATAGTCAAACACACACAGAGAAAGATATAATCAAAAGAGTTGATTATAACATCACTACTGGTCATTTCTTCAAATTGTAGAAAAACAGAACGGCGTTAATCTGGTTTAATCTGGATTCCAAATGCCACTGTATGTGCATGGTGTGGGGGAGATCTGTTTGCGCTGCCGTGAGAGACGCTCCAGGCACGGGGAAGTTCCCTCAGCACACCGCTCTGCGTAAAGACCGCACTCTGAACAACGCTCATTGTACATCATCGCAAATGTTCATTTTCGGCCACTGCTTAAACAATATAGCCGTGTGGTATTGTATTTTACTTCCGTCTTCGGACGTATTCTGAATATTCAAAGTTCAGAGCATGTGGATGTGAATAAACTGGATATAGGAGGGAATTATTTGTTATTGTTTTAATTCACGATCTAGACTGAGCAGAAAAATAATCAAAAACATTAAAGTCAATTGCTCGACCAGACCCGTTTCGAAGTGTGTATCTTAATGGGATTTGAAGTTCAACAGTTTCAGGAACACGCAACGTGCACTTATAGCCTTTTTGTCAGCTATTGTCGCACGGCCGTTTTCATTTGTTTTACCGTCAGTTTTATGGAGACACTCTGTCAAGAAGGCGCAAGCACTTGTAAGAGTTTAGAGTTTTATGACACAAACGCACTGCTTCATGCCAAAACAATGAATTTCTCTCCACCCCCACCACCCCGCGTGCGATTCCTTGCAATTCGAGCCTGAAGTGTGCGGACAGTGCAGGGGGAAGGCTCTCTTCACCTTTGACCTCATCTTGTTGGGACAGTGTATTTGGGCAGTGAATGGCGAAAAGCATGCTGAATCAAGGAAAATAGAACATTTTCAAGGACAAAATAAAATAAAAACAAATACAGGCTATCTTCACGAACACATGCACAGGTGCACACACACATGCAGACATCATAACAATGCAGCCTAGTTTGTTTTTTTTTGGTCATTTTGTTTCATATAGAGGATTCTTTTAACATGAATATTTTGTAAATGTTTAAACAATGCTTAACCCTAAGTGATACATGTATTTATTAAATATTATACCTACAGTGATAAATGTAATTATTTCTACACACACATATAAGCAGCAGAGTTGGGCCCTATCTATCTATCTATCTATCTATATATATATGATGATGATAAAAATCTGACAGTTCATAATCGCTCATTTCCCCAATGTATAGCTAAAAGCAGTCTTGCAGCCACCTGGACATGCGTTTCCTTCTTTAAAAGACTGTTAACATCCCCAGCAAGGATATACCCGGCCACAGCTTCGGACAGGCTTAATCAAGTGCAAGTTTAGAACATTATTTGCCATTTATAATGTGTCAGTAGCTCTGTAGGCCTCATAGAACCAGACCCCCTCCTTCGCCTCTCTTTGTTCTCTTCAGCTCTAATAGGTTTTCCCCTGCCACACACGATTCACTTTTTTCCCTTTTCAGCTTCCCATCCCCCATACCCCTTTAGTTTAGTGCCCAGTGTCGAATGCTGCATTTGAGCAATTTGAAATTAAAGCAAACAATGGACAGGCACTCCCAGGGACCTCTCGCTCACCATATTAGACAGAGGACGCTCTTGCGCATTATTGGCAAGTCATTACGTTTCTCTGGAAACCCAGAGCGGGAGGTTGCTCAGACGAATCGGTGATGCAAGCAGCAGCTGAGTGCTTGGAATAGCATGTGTGTGCACCCGGCCTGGAGCATCCTAGGAATTACACTGACAGCATCCCTTTAGCGTCATTATTTTATGGAACAGGTCTGAACTTTTGCCGAGGGGACATAACATTTTATCGTCAACTGTCGAAATGTCATTACTAGTCAGACCTCAAAGTTGATATAACATATGCAGATTAAAATGAAGATATCTGAGAACTCTGAAATGGTCATTGAATTACACACTGCATATTAAATGAAGGACTATAGGTTTGAGTTTCCGTCCTGCGGACATGTTTCCCCTGTAAAAGACTTGGCTATTTGTTTGCTTAATCAAAGGCATACACGCGTCATGGGCTAATAAAACTGATGTGCATTAATAAAGTAGTTGTTGTTATCCGTGCCATGTGCTATCAAAACGAACACATTGGTCTGGTACTTCCTGGGGAGGATGCCCTACGTCATTACGTCATTACGTATTTCCTGTTCTCTACGACGTCCCCCGCTCCGTCCCCTCGTAGCGCAGTGAAGTGGATGTTTTGGTAAAATATTGCATTGAACTGGACGTAAACACGTTTGAAAGATGACATTTTGACCGCACGGGACTTAATACGGAATAGCATCGACAAGACGAGCGTCATTAGTCGCGCATTTCATGTTATTTTGATATCGTATTCCTCCGCATGTCCGCCTTCGTTGTAGATGGTCTCCAGCGAGTGTTGTCTGGCGGCGGACGACGACATCTCGAAGAATAACATGAAGGAGATGATCGGCGGGTGCTGTGTGTGTTCAGACGAGAGGGGCTGGGCGGAGAACCCCTTAGTTTATTGCGATGGACATGGCTGCAACGTCGCTGTGCACCAAGGTAAGATGTTTGTGTGTTAGCTTGCCTCGGTTTAGCTGTTAGCTCCGTGGCTACTTGCGGCGCTGTGTTACTGCAAGGTTATGGAGCTATGTGCAGCCTCCGCCTGCCCCCAGCAAGGCCAGGCTGAGGTCACAAGTCTGAATCATTTGTGTTATGGTTTCTATATATACAAGTTATTCATGATATAAGTTACGAATTAATCTAGGGTTGAAACTATTTGAATCTTCAACTATATATGCTGGTTGAAATGCTCAACATGCAATATTCTAAAGTCTGTCAGCCATTAATGATGATATTGCCCAACGTAAGTGAAATATAATTTATATCCAAGGTATTATAAAAACGTAGGTGTCAGCTTTTACCACTTACAGGAACAGAACTGGGGCTCACTGGCCATGCTCTCTGTGTTTACAAACAAAAAAGGTGTCACTGCACTGAGTGCAGTGAATGTATATTAACGGTGTTCAAGCGGTTTTGTTTATGACTAAGACAATGATCCATTCGTACATGCATCATTACCTAACACATTTAAACATGAATAAAAAATGCATAATCATAATAAACTTGAAAAAGTTAAAGGTATGTATTGTAATATCGATGCATTTTCTCAACACAATTTCACATAGTTTAAATCAAGCCCCAAAATACAAATACACAAAAATGGGTCTAAAATGTAATTTACATATTGTGACACACAAATTATAGCATCAACGATAAGATACCGTAATCGACTACGTCAACTACTGAAATTTGTTGCCTTCCATTTGATGCATCGATAAAATTATGCTTTCAGAAATGTATTCCAGCGCCTGTGTTCACTCCTGTTATACATCTTGGTATCAAACTCATTTTGGCCAGGGGTCAAATTAATAAACATAAGAGCTGGTCTGGGCCAGAAGTGTATAAGTCTTTTGACACAATAATAGTATTTGACATAAGTTTGGATATTTTCTACCACAACTGGGCCAAACATCAATAAGATATGTGTGAGGATTAGATAGATGTATTGGGAGACTGATTGAAAAAGAAAAGAAGCAACTCCATCCATCCATCCATCCATTTTCTACCCTCTGCAGGTGGTGAGTCCACAGGAGGACGGCTGCTCTGAGTGTGAGCATAGCCTTGATCTTTCAGTGGGGGCTTTGGGCAAAGTGGGGTTAAGTGTCTTGCCCAAGGACACAACGACAGCAGTCATCAGTGGGAGTCGGTGGAGAAGGTGCAGAGGTGGGAATTGAACCCACGACCTTCTGGCCTTAAGGCCAATGCTCTACCAACTGAGCTACTGTCGCCCCCCAAAAGAAGCAGCTATAACTTCTAATTATATTCTAGTTTCCATTTCAGAACACATACAATTACATAGTTGTTTTCCTGACACAATAGGCTTTATCATGAAATATAACATGCCATAGTTGCCACTTACCATCAAGGCTGCAAGTTACTGCGATAAAGATAATTGAAAATCATTTTAGGGGCCACTAAAATGTTTCTAGCGGGCCAAATTTGGCCCATGGGCCTAAGTTTGACAGGCCTGATCGATGGGATCAAACTGTTTTTGACTGGATTTTGGGTTTAAAGATTAGATCCATTGACTGAATAGAACTTTGTAATAGGTTTAGTGAAATATAAGCACCACATTATGTATGTTTTAAATTGGCATGCTAATTTCATGTTTCTAACAGAAATATGATTGTACGATATGTGAATATTCATGTGTTGAAATACAGGAAGGAGAGAACAGTCTTCATGTACATTCTATAACTTGGCCTATTTCATTTAACTGTATTAAGCTCTTGCCCCTTGTTAAAGCTCCCACAGGTGTTTTTCTCTTGACACCACATTTGTAACACTTCATTAGAAGTCTCATTTGGTGTAGGGGCATTTGTTTACATTTCAGCGTTACCGTGTCACAAGGGCCAACAAGTAATAATTCGGTCATTTTTCAAAATAAAGTATCGTTCAGACTCGAATACTAATTATGGAAATAATTTAGTATTTCCTTGGGGATCGGTTCAAATGTCCCGTGGCCTGGTCTGCTGACTGGGGGTTGGGGACCTGATCTGGGAGACGTGTTTTTTAGGACAGGCTGCTCTTCATTGCTATACTACACTGGGGGTGTTCCAATGCATTGTGGTATGATGCATTGCAATGCTCATATGCTTCAATATGTTTTTATTAAGAAAACTACTTTTTCATTAAGAAAACTACTCCTATTCCCACTAAGACTACATCCTGCTGTGTGGAGCGGCCCATTGCCCGTTGAGTATGGAGGCTGCGACCTGGTGCACAGAGCTTGGAGCCCGGGGCGCGTGGCGCCCAGATACCATTCCAGACCTGACGCGTGAAATCACTGATCACTATCATAAGGTCAGGTCTCTGGTCTGGCCTGGATCCGGTCTCTGATCTCATTGGCTGGCCTGGTTTTTGGTTCAGTTTGGGTTTATGCCTGTCACGGCAGCTGCGTTATTCCAGACCGGACCAAAACTAACGGCCGCGCACGTGGATTGCCTGACTCCGACTTTGGGACAAGTTTGGGACGTAGTGGCGTGCTCCGGTCTCTCGTTGACCACAGTTGACTCGAGTCGGTGTGCGTTACAAACTGCTGTCAACCCGATCTAAATAAGATCCACACCGAAGTTGGAGTTAATGTACACCAGGCGTTTTACAGAGTTTCTTCAAAGTCTGCAGGGATTTTGCTGCTTTCCAACAACCAAATCACTGCTGATTTTATTTAGGGCTATACAAAAATGAATTTAATAATTTTGAGAGCCGTTGTGGTCAGATATTTGTGTAAATTTAGAAGTTATCTATGGACATCCCAGTGGCCAAAGTTTTGGCCACCTGAGGGACATTTGACAGCAAGCAGTCTAAGTCTAGACTTTAGGAGACTTAATTACGTGTTTTATTATACTGGAAATGTCTTATGTTCTATTTTAATTAATTGAAGCACTTTAAGATTTTATTTGGAAATGTTTTGCTCAAAGTTCCACCTCTCGTTTTCTACAAGGCCACTCTAGTTTTATTTAATTCCTGTCCTATCTATGATGGTGTGTTATGCCGATCCGCTACTGTCTTTCACATCTTCTCTAGAAGAGCTTTTAGAATTGCACCTCTTCTATTTTTGCCAAAATCTCAAGGAACCGGTGTTTATTGCTAACTGACTTTTTAAACAGACTCCGAACTGCCGCAGTTAGGGGTGCAACGGATCAAAAAAATTACGGTTCGGCTCGTACCTCGGTTCGGTTCATTTTTTGAATCAGCAAAAAAAAAAAAAAGTGTTTTCTTTTTATATAAACACTTTATTATTAATAAATTAAAATATGGGTGGGCGATATGGCCTAAAATTCATATTGCGGTATAATTTGGGACACAGACGGTAGACGGTAGATATTGCGGTATAATTTGGTGTGTGAATTTCAATATATTGCATAAAATAGTCAAGATTGTCACTTATTTATATATTAGAATCTAATATATACATTTTTTGAGTTAGAAAATCAGTTGTGAGACGAATAAAGAGACAAATGTTGTAACATACATTATTTATGTATGTTACAGTACATACCATTCACTGTAAAAGCAATTTTTAAAAAGAAAAACATATGCATTCATTTAAAATATAAAAAACTCACAAATGTTGAAATCAAAGTCTGTAGGAGTTAGACATGGTCATTATTTATAGTGTCTGAGAGTTTTGTGCAGGTACATGACTTCAGTAAAAGCTATAGTTTGACACTGGCGCTTCGAGCCTACGCCCCTTTGACACTGATTGGCCAAAAGGTAGACGCTTAAACTGTGATTACTGTGTGTGTATTTACCTCTGCTGGGGCCGCTGTGACAACAATACAGAGACAGAAACAGGGTGTTAATGCCGTGCTGTTGTTCGTTGTTTCCAGTGGTGTCTGCTAGGCTAATGCTGCTGAATGCCGGTTTGTTTTGGTGCTTTCTGCTGGCGTCAGAGCCTGCGCAATTTGATGACATAATGGCCTATTGCAATATGCCGGTATAACAAATATCTCTACCGTGGGCCAAATTTATATCGCATACCGCTTATACCGTTTATATCGCCCAGCCCTAGCACAAGGCATATTTTCCCTACTGAATAATCAAGGCTTCTGTGGACTCAGCACCTGCAGGAGGATCAGTGAGGGGCTGGTGCTCTGTGTACTGGGTGCAGCTCTGACTGCCACCCCCCTGAACTAGAAATGGATTAAGGGGAAGAAAATGGATGGATGGATGGATGGAAGGCATATTCCATCCATTCATCCAATTATGTCTTTTTAACATAATTCATGAAAAACAACACAAACTGCCACATAAGAAGGCACTTTATGAGGGTATTTACTAGGGGTATATCGATTTATCGAGTATATCGCGATACTTTCTCCCAACGTTGCAGCCGATCAATTTTGAAAAAAATAAAAAAATAAATTGGTATCAATACTTAATATATGGCTACATTACGCATCACCATTTGATTTATCATGAAATAAAGTGTATTTTTTATTTATTTATGCCATAAATTGGCATATTGTATATTTCTGACCAATATATCGATAATCGTTATCGTGATAATATTGTTATTGTGATAATATTGTTATTGTGATAATATTGTTATTGTGATAATATCGTTATCGTGAGCTTTGTATCGCGTATCGTATCGTGAGTTACCCTTAGGTTCCCACCCCTAGTATTTACCCTCGTATATTAAACCACTTTCCTGATTCTCCCAAGGAGGCGCTCCATCCTAGGCCCAGTCCAGCCTCATTCACTGCATTTATTTAATTTTTAGCATTATCAGTTGTGACTGGGATATTAGTATGGGCCTTTGTCTTCCATTCCTCCGCTGCTGTATCAGTACCTGCGCGGTGTGCCTGTGTGACTTTTGTAGAGGGGGCGTGTCTGCAGCGCTGGACTTCTCATCTCCCAGTCTGCTGTGATGAGGTGAGCGGTTATCGTAACATAGCTCTCCGTTCCGCTCATGGATCTATTATAGGTTCCGCGGGACTTCCAAGCGTCAGTCGTAGCGCAACTGAGGATGCGCGGGAGAGTTGACTTTAGCCCAGTCTGACTGTGCATAAAGGGGCTGCTTAAATGCCGCGGCAATAAGCGGTCGTTGAGATGCTTTTTTCCCACTCATGTCTTTCTTGTGCCACAGTGTTTACACATCTTGACAGTTTTGTCGAATATTTAATCATCAGTGTAGTTGACAGTGAAGCCAAAATGCTCCCATACAGGGGATTTAAAGGACGGGGGCTTCTCCGTTCCTCCGCTCGCCATGATTACGCTGCGAGTGAACTGAACAACATAGTGGGAGCGCACAACTTTTTTTTCATAAATCAAACCGCGGATCACGTCTGTACCGAACCGAAGACGTTGATCCGAACAGATCACGGATCAGTGATGAACCGTTGCACCTCGCCGCAATGTATGATTGGTCTCAAAAATCCTGCTTAGGGCACCTCTAATTATTAATACAAAATATATGTGAATACATTTTTTACACCTCAAAAGTGATATTGTATATAATTGAAGAACACCCCTGCAAAGCACATTAGTAGTTCAAATAATACAATGCTATTGTTTCTCTAGTGTCTCAGGAGGAGAGAGGGACAATATCCATTTCTTACAGTTAGGGCTGGGCAATAAATCAAATTTAGGCAATTAATCGGCTTTTGAAAAATAGTATTGGGGAAACAAATTAAAAACATATTTTAAACATGAATATTGAGCGGAAAGATCAAAACATATGTTTAAGGGCAAAGTCTGTCTTCAGTGACTTTAATAAAAATTGATTTCAAATCAAAATCGTCCAAAGCAGGAAATAAAATCGAGATTTTACTTTTTTGCCATATTGCCCAGCCCTACTTACAGTATGATATCAATATTTATTGTTATAATGTATATATATTAGAGGTGCACCGATCGATCGGTAGCCGATTATAATCGGCCGATCACGTGATCGGTGATATGTGCCGATCACAAAGACCGATCAGATGACATGAGGGTTCGTGCGCACACGATACTTTCTCTCGTCAAAACTGCTTAAACAAGCAACTCATGCAGCTATCAGTAACAGAGATTCTACAGTGGCAACAACCACACAGTAATGACATAAGAAAGAACACGAAATATGCGCGAAAGTTATGGAATTTATTCCCCTCTGGCACCAGTCCTTGTCTGTTGTGGAAAGCGCTGGGTTCAAACAGCTCATGTCCACTGCTTCAAAATGCCATCGCGGAGATATCTGACTGATGTCTGCCTGTCGCAGCTTTACCAAACTATATTCTCACATTGACACTCCATAGCATGGATCTATTATAATAACGAGCCAGAGTCACACCGCGCAGGCACAGCACACACCCCGTGTCAGGAGTTTGCGTGTTATGTTCACAGAAATGTTGAATTAAGATGAGTGTAGTGGTAGTACAGACAGTCCTACAGTGTCGCAGATTTAGCGTTACTTACTACGTAGTTGCGCATCAGAGCAGACAGCCGCTTGTTTATTGAAACGAAAAGAAAAGGCGCGTCTTTCCTCTGTGCTCCATGCACAAGTGTAGACAGCGAGAGTTTAGCGCCGCGGGACTATTCAGGATGATAAACGTAATAAACCCCTGCAAATGCTGAGATGCTTATATTACTGAAGAAAAAGCATTGCAATAACTATCTCTTAATCAGTTTAGAAATGCAGCATATACAGTATTGCTGTATTTCATTGCATTTTTTTAATGTATCTCAATGCTCTGTAACGTATACTTGTGGTTCCCAACCTTTTTGTCTTGAGTACCCCATAGGCATTTTATTTATACTACCTAGTACCTTGATGGTTTTGAAAGATTAGTTATAAAGTGAATAACTAGTCCTATTCATTTATCACTAATATTTTCAATATTTGATCGGATCGGCAATGATCGGTATCGGCCGATCAAAATTTTAATGATCGGTGATCGTCCAAAAAAATCCTGATCGGTGCACCTCTAATATATATTGCTGCTCAATGTTTTGTACGCCATGTTGAACCTGCTTTATTACCACTGGGGCTGGGTCCCGGCTCAAAAGTGGCCAAAATGACGGCGCTGACACGCTTGCAATACCACGCCGGGCCAATGGGGGTGGAACCGGAATAAGAATTATTCAATGCTAACATATAGCATTAGCTGACCTCTCGAAAACGTCTTTACAGGATGATCCAAAAGTTGGCTCTTGGCCCAAAGCTCCGTTCCACATGTGTGTAAATGCTGAGGGGAGTGAATATTTTTGGACCAGTCTAGTTTAGTCGACTGGTTAACACTCGTTAAATGAATGGGGCTGGTGCTGGCTGACGCATGCGCAGATGTGTATTTTCACATTTTCCAGCCCCCGTGGCCATTTTGAAACTGCCATCTAGACCGCGGAAGTTGTGGCACATTAGTTAGAACGGCGGAGATAGGCGTGACTACGTCCGTTAATATTTACTGTCTATGTTTATTACATTCCCAGTGCTGTATAATTTGCACACAATTCAGGTAAAATAACTTCATTTATGGTTATCCATAGAAACACACAGACACAATGATTCAAGAATACATTAGAAGGTATATAATTCGCATCAGTTCATAATAGGCCTCAACAAAAGTAGACTGTGCCCCAATTAGCTGTTTAGAATGCAGATTAAGGTGGGGAGGAATCTAGACTTGGCCCTCTGATTGTGAGTGGGAGGGACCTGTACCTGCACCCTGATGGAAGTAGACTGTAGTGTTAGTGCAGAGTGTGTGAACTGTCTGGTGATCTGTCAGCCTTTCCACTCCGCTCTGTTGTTGTAGATGACTGTGAGCGAGTCATGCTGTTGTCCAATGATATTTCTGTGTGAGACTGTGTGAATCAAACCAGGCTATGATTTTGATTTTGAGAACGTATTCACATAAAAAACACACGGAAAAGCCTTTGTAAAATAATCTAAAATTAGTTTCAAGATATTTGTATGTGTTAACCCCTTCCACTGCGTCCTTATCAATAGTGCCGTGTCCGTGATGAAAAAGAATGACCATTTTAGGTCCAGTTTTGGGTCCAGGTAATTGTGTCTACACCACAGTGAAAAGGTGTCCAGTTCAGTCTGTAGCAGTCCTGTGGCACATGGTCTGGGACGTGGGATGGTATGGACACAAGCACGCACACGCTGCAGAAGCTTTTTTACAGATAACTGCATTCTAAAATACATAACACTACAGTAGCCTCATGAGTAGGGGTGGCAAAAAAAAAAAAAAAACAATCGATTCTTGGCAAATGCATATTGATAATCGAATCGCAGGAGAAAGTATCGCGATATATCGTCACACCCCTACTCATGAGTCTCATTAGGTGCAGGTTGGTATTCAAATATTTAATAATTCCCTCACTTGCTGTTGGTGTGTTATGATTTTCATTAGCATTGTTTACTTGGAGCTGTCCACAGTACTTGTCTATCAGTGCACAGGAAGGTACAACTTATCTGAGGTACACTAAATAAAGGCAAGAGACTGAGGGCTGTATTGTAAACTGCAAGTTTCTGTTGCAGCTTAGGTTGATGTGATGCAAAGAGTGTTCACAGTTCAACAGCTGTTTTGTTTTTTTGTGCTGTGAAGCTTTAAGCCTAGCGTACATCGGACTGGCAACTGATTATATCCGTCGCATATGAGTTGCTGCCCCGCACACATTGACAATCTGACGAAAACGGGCAACTCCCAGTAGCAGACCAGTCTCGGGAATAACAGCGCGTACATCGACAGCAACTGGCCTCAACTACAGTGTGTTTTCTGACATAAACTGTTGCGGGCTCGCAATACACACACGTTGTCGGAGCGGCGCATGGAGCGCGCACATCGGGTCATATCTCCGAAACTGAGGACAACTAGTTGCCGAAAAGTAGAACACGGGCAACTGACTGAAACTGGAGACCGACTGATCATCTCCAGTTGTAAGAGCGCGCACATCGACCGATTTCGGCAACTGATCATCTCCCACCATCTCCACTCAGTTGCCAAAAGCCGCCTTGCAACTAGTTGTCTCCAGTTTCTCTGTCGATGTACGCTAGGCTTTAAGCCTAAGCGTACATGGTAGACTTTGGGATGTAACTTAGTTGAAGTCAGTGATGAAATTTAATGTAATCGGATCTCTCTTTGAATATTTGATCATACAGGTGCAAATCAAGCAAAAAGGAAAAACTTACGTGGCTGTGCTTGAGAAAATGTCAAAAATCACCAAAAATGGCAAATGTCCCCATAAGTGGTTATCAGATCTAACCCAGTGGGGGCGGGTCCTTGCTCAAAAATGCTCAAAATGACGTGCGCTGACATGCTTGCAATTACACCTCGGGCCAGTGGGGGTGGACCCGGAATAAGAATTAGCCAATGCTAATGTATAGCATTTTCTTACCTACCTCTTACCTTTTTTTGGATCAGTCTAATTTAGTTGCTGTGGAATTTTAAATGCACTCTCCAAATGAATGGGGCTCGTGCCGGCTGACGCATGCACTAATGCGTTTTTTCACATTTTCCAGCCCTCGCGGCCATTTTTAAACTGCCCATCATAGACTGCGAAAGTGGTGGCACATTAGTTTGAACGGCGGAGATAGGCGTGACTACGTCCGTTAATATTTACAGTCAATGATCTAAACGCATCCACTGTGTTTGTTTCCAGCATGTTATGGCATCGTGCAGGTGCCCACTGGGCCGTGGTTCTGCAGGAAGTGTGAATCTCAGGAGAGAGCTGCTCGTGTGGTGAGTTACACACTACAGATCACTTCTTTACATTTTTTTAAAGTAAAATTAAGTTCTGTAAAAATCTGTCCCATTCAATATGGCAAAAAAGGCAACTTGAGTCAGAATTTAACATGGGGAGGCAGCATTGCAGATTTATGCAGTTAAAATCTGGAAAAGTCTTCCTGAAAATGTGAGACGGGCTTCTTGTGACATTATTCATATCCAGGATAAAACAGTTCTGTTTAGCCGTGCGTACAACTGACGTCTTCACTCTTTTTTGCCATGTTAAAATAGAAATGATTTCAGTGAAATGTAACTCATTAAACCATTTTATTGCCTCATGCTTAAACGTTTAATCCCAAAAAATAACTTTTGTCTTTATGCGCACAGCTAACTGCACTGGCACTAGGCAGTTGATCACACAGTAAACTGGACTTATGAGGTTCAATATGTGTCACATAACACTATCTCCAATGCACTAATCAATAAACGCCATGGTACATTGTATAATTGGAAATCCAGTATATGCATGTAATGACCAGAATTTACCGACCTTGCTGGTTTGTATGACTACAAAAAAAGGTCTAGTGTAACTTCGAGCAGTTCCTTAAAACCTTTCTCCTTTCGGTGACAAATCACCTTTTTACTCTGAGAAAAAATAAATAAATTTGTGAATCATGCTGATCTGCAATAAAGTCATTTGAGGATTAGGGGTTAAAGGCTTTTAGGGTTAGTAGTTTAAAGTAAAATAGTAGTGTCTGGTATTGTATTGTCTTCATTTATAGAATAGAAGTGACCACTCATAGAAGTAGGCATAGTGATAGAACTCTTTAAAAAGCCTACTGTTAAACAAGCTTTTTTATTGAGAAGTTATTCGTAAATACTATATTATGTTCTGAAATGCAGTAGAATGCATGAAAGTTAATTATTTTAGAACCTCTCCTCAAACTGTTTTCCTGTAGATTTTTGAAGCCTTTGCAGGTACTTTTATACTTGTATAACATTTTCAGACCAAAAACATGGATACAATTTTAACACCGCAGACATTTCTTAAGGCACAAAGCGCTGGCGATTCGATGGTCACTTTATAACTCTGGCTTAGTTTGCAGTAAACAATAAGCTTCATGTTCTGACTCTGCTTTTTAGCTGCTAATGCAGGGGTGCTCACACTTTTTCAGCATGCGAGCTACTTATAAAAGGATCAAGTCAAAATGATCTACCTACTACAAAAATGCAAATCATATATTTATTTCAAAAAATATTCTTTATACCTACAATGTATGTTTATGTACATGCAAAACCGCATGAGCCAATATAGCACAACACAACACAATTACCTATGTACATTTTTTGTCATTACCCGAGTTTACTCTTATGACTTGCACTGAATTGAATCGGCCAGGGATGCATAGTCTGGAAAATTGGTGGTAACTCGCTGACAAGTCGTGGTTTAGCTTTCCTGCACTGAGCGCGGTTGTTTGCGCATGTGCAGTCACCTAAGTGTCAGTAAAACATTACTGAGTAAAACACAGATGTCATTTAACTGTGGTGCCATGTCCATGTGCCATGCCTGTTTTTTTTAAATCCAAATATTTCCCCTCCTCAGTTTATAAAATAATTTGCATCCACACATCTGCGTTATCAATCACATTCGTAACATTCCAAACATGTGCGTCTCTTACGTCCTGTCCTGCGTTGGGGAAAAACACAGAAGTGGGCGGAGCTTTGATGCAGACGCCGGTAACGGCACTTTTACAGTCATAGAAGACACTCAGAGTAAAGACGTATGTTTACAAGCACTGACCCCGTCCTCAGCCCTGGTTTAGTCCTGGTTTAGTCCTGGTTTAGTCCTGGTTTAGTCCTGGTTTGGTTGTTTTCGAGCGTGAGTCCCCGCGATCACTTTGCTGCTCTCTGATGTGGAGCGAGGATGTTCGCTGCTGCGAGCATCTCACAGCGAACAGTTTTTAAGGTAGTATGATCCATGCTTCAGTGATCAGAGGAATTTAGGGGGGTACTGTGGCGTTCGAGAACGCAAAACTCCGGTTATCTCTGACTACACACAAATGCATTAACGGAGTTTTCAAAAATCTCCACTTTGCCCGGAGTTTTTTGTATATATTCGTTTAGAATGTGTAATTTTTTATTTATTTAATGCGATCTACCAATACTACCTTTGCGATCGACCGGTAGATCGCGATCGACGTATTGAGCACCCCTGTGCTAATGCTAGCTGCTGTAAAAAACAACATACCTGGATACACACAGGCTACAACATACAGAGTTAATGTGAGAAAAAGAACAGTGTAAAGCCTATAGTTTCACCAAACTAAGGCACAACTGTGGGCACAAAATAACTATGCAAACGAACAAAAGAAACAGGGCTTTATCATACAAAGGAAAAAAGAGCTGCTTTACCAAAACAGCAGAAATAGTTTCTTTTAACTTCAATGTGTGGTGTCTCTGCTTCTCTGAAAAACTTCCCCAATCCATTTTATTTCCACCCCATACTTCACAGTGAGTATAGTGTTCTTGGGATGCGAATGTCCTCCTGCTTAAGCCAACTCTTCTCCAGGCCCATCTAAAGTTTTCCAGTGATCATCTGGATGATCTAGACGAGGCCAAAAAGAATACTGAGTCTCCAGACCTCAACACAATGGAAAATCTCAGGTGGGAGTCGGGCTTGGCACTATGGCAAAAAAAAAAAAAAAAAAATTCACACCAAATCCGATTTTTTATCTTAATCGATTATTTTTTTCTATTTAAAAACAAACTACAATTGACAAAGAAATAGATTTTCCTTTATGCAGTTTAATCTAAATTCCCATGGAGCATAAGTGTAACCGGAAATAAGCCTTAAAACATGCTTGTAAACGAGATGGCGCTGCCTTTGTAAACAGTGAAAATGCAATTTTCTAATAACTTCACTTACAGTGACACAATGCACCTTCAAAATAACTTCAAATGCACAAAAGAGGGCCATAGCCAATATATCAATCGTATTAAACAGATGCATTATTTACATGAAATATCACATTTTTAAAACTATATGATTACTCTAAATACAAATGTTATAACAGAGAAAGTCTTTTACAAAAGCCTCCTCCTGTGTAATTGTGCTGTAGTACAACGCTCGGTCCAGCTGGTGGCGCTAATACTAACTTCAGTGACTACCGCGTTGAGTTAAGTTTCCTGTTAATATTCTGATACTGTAGCTAACAGCTAGAGCATTGAACACGTTGTTTGTATCAGAGCAGTGAGAGCAATGTGTGTGTGAGAAGTGTCTTTCCCCAAAGTGCAGCAGCTCAGTGGGACACGTGTGTGCGCGCCGTGGACACGGGAGCGCTAGGGCTGGGACAATGCACCGACGTAATCGATGACATCGAGGCAAAAAATACGTCGATACAAAATGTGCACGTTGATTTGTCATACTCAAAACAAAGATGACAGCGAGTAGTAGCAGTAGTACGCGAGTGCCGTCTTATGGGCGTTCGGACCGCACAGTATACGCACATTCTCTAAATTACAGAGGCTTTGGGTGTTAAGGCTAGAAGTCCTGGGCTAGCCGCGTTTAGCTAGCGGCTTTTTGTGTAAAGTTGTTCTCCAATACTTCAGCTCTGCAGCGGCTCTGTGTCCAGAGACTTTATATAACAGCGGAGGTGCACCATCAGTTTATTTTATTATTAGACGGTACTTCCGCATCGGCGAACATGCTAGCTGCTACATGCTAGCTGTGCAGTTTAGTCACTGGAGAATGACAACACAGGCTGGAGGCAAATGTTCACAAGTACACACAAAGAGACAGACAATATTCTTAGGCCTATGTTCAACATAACTGTTGAAATGTAAATGTTTATTTTCATTATTTTTTGCTAGAAAAGCCCTCTCTCTTTAGCGTAAAGCCCTCAAGTTTACATTGGTTACTGTATTTTTTCAGTTTCTCTAAACAAGTATTTTGGGTGAACTTTTTTATTTTATTTCATTGAATGCTCAGCATCAAGTGCAATTTTAATCTGAAAGAAGAATAATAAGATGCACTTTTTTCAGTAAGCTCAAGGTTTTATGCTACCTCTGACTAAGAATGTCTTATTTTTGAATTTTAAGAACAATAAATATATTTTGTTAAGGAATTCATGTTTTTTCATTCAGATATGTAAATTAACACACAACACCCAATGTATACATTGCTATTAGTCAATTAATAATTGGGAGATAATCAATAATCGAACCGAAATCGAATCGAGCTGAAAAAATTAATCGTTAGCTTAATCGATGCATCAAAAAAGTAAGTAAGTAAGTAATCTTTATATATACCGCCTTTTCACTGCACATCGGAGTCTCAAAGCGGTTTACAATTGTTATTTTTGGGAGTGGGGGTGCCAGTACAGGAGGCACATGCCAGACCTATTGTACATATTTTTAGTGGTAAAGGAAACCTACGCAGACATGGGGAGAACATGCAAACTCCACTCAGAAAGGCCCTGGTCCAACCGGGATTCGAACCCAGGACCTCCTTGCTGAGAGGCGAGAGTGCTATCCACTCAGCCACCGTGCCGCGTGGATAGCGAAAAAATAATCGCTAGATTAATCGTTTAAAAAAATAATCGTTTATCCCAGCCCTAGGGAGCACACTTTGGAGTAACGAGCGTGAGCGCTGAGAAATGAATGAATGACAATGAAAGACGACCGGAGCCTGCCTTCCTGCGTGTGCGTGCGTGTGTGTGTGTGTGTGTGTGTGTGTGTTCTGGCAATTAAATAAAGTCTGATTCTTGAACGTCTGAAGTGTTATTGCCACAGCACCAACTGTGAGAGGGAACGTGAGGACAGAGGGAGACTGTTAGCATTAGGTTAGCTTTCAAATTGACTGCTCAACACCCGCGGTTAGCGTGTTAGCACTGTAGATTTTAATTCAAAAGAAATCGCCCTAAACGTCAAATTTGACTTAATTAAAATCGATATATCGCCCAGCCCTAGGTGGGAGTTAGCGGTTTGAGTTGCCCCAAAATATCATTGCTCTACAGAAGATCATATGTGCTATGGGCATGCGGTCCTGATCTAGATATGAACACATATACAGTGCCTTGCGAAAGTACTTGACCCCCTTGAACCTTTCAACCTTTCGCCACATTTGAGGCATCACACATAAATATATAACCTTTCAAGAATCAACAACAAGTGGGAAACAATTGTGAAGTGGAACAACATTTATTGGATATGTTAAAGTTATTCAAAAATAAAAAACTGACAAATGGGGAATGCAATATTATTCTGCCCCTTTGCGCTAATACTTTATAGTGCCACCTCTGCTGCAATTACAGCTGCAAGTCACTTGGGGTATGCCTATCAGTTTTGCACATTGAGAGACTGAAATTCTTTCCCATTCTTCCTTGCAAAACAGCTGGAGCTCAGTGAGGTTGTATGGAGAGCGTTTGTGAACAACAGTCTTCAGCTCTTTCCACAGATTCTCGATTGGATTCAGGTCTGGACTTTGACTTGGCCATTCTAACACCTGGATTCTTTAATTTGTGAACCATTCCATTGTAGATTTGGGTTTATGTTCTGGATCATTGTCCTGTTGGAAGTTAAATCTCTATCCTAGTCTCGAGTCTTTTGCAGAGTCCAACAAGTTTTCTTCCAGAATGGTCCTGTATTTGTCTCCATCCATCTTCCCATCAATTTTAACCATCTCCCTTATCCCTGCTGAAGAAAAGCAGGCCCAAATCTTGATGCTGGCACCATATTTGACAGCGGGGATGGTGTGTTTAGGGTGAAGAGCTGTGTTGCTTTTATGCCAAACATATCGTTTTGCATTGTGGCCAAAAAGTTCGATTTTGGTTTATCTTTGAGAATTTGTGCAGTAACTATTCCTTCAGTTTGATATTGAATTTGTTTGAGGTTCATTCTGCTATTTTGTGTTTGTTTGCTTTTGTATATGTATGTATGTAGAAATTAAAAGAAAGTTGTAGGTCTATTAGAATGATTTTTCTAATATAATTGAGTCTAGAAATGTTTTAATTTCATATATCACAATAGTTGTTTAGCGTTGTGTAATTTGATGGACAGGCGGTTGGTCCATGGTCTGTGGGGGCGTGGTCTGTGGTGCTCTGTAGGGGAACTGTCAATTTTTGGTGCACTTACCAACCAAAAGCGTAGTCAGACTCTGGAGCTATTAAATGTGTGTATTTTATCTTTAGATTCGGCAGGTTGTGGTCTATATATATTCATGCATATTGTAAGTAAGTAATCTTTATTTATTTACCGCCTTTCACAGACCAGAGTCACAAAGCGGTTTACAATTGTTATTTTTGGGCACTTGTCTTCTCACTCCACACAGAGATGGGAGCGGGGTCGCCGAACAGGAGGCAATGTTTATTGTCACATGCGGTTGCATGTAATTTCATTCACTATAATTTTTTTAGTTCAAAGAATAAACCAACATGCATTCAGCCTTATGATGAGGTTATGCACAAAGATTCAAATGTTATTCCATTACCTCACAGGCACATAAACAGAGAGGAGTCTTTGATAATGATTCATGATATTACACATTAACAGTGCAATACACAAGTTGGGTAACGGCATCTTAAGAGCAGTTTAGGAACGTTCACACCATAAAAAAGTCATCGCTATAGGACTAACGACATCCTTGGTGGCATATAGCGGAGTTTTCTGGCTCTGTGCCCAGAACAACCTGCCCTATTCACTCCTCCTGTTGCATATTTGTCATAGATCTGCGCTAACTTGTGCTTCTCTACCTGCAGAGATGTGAGCTGTGTCCACACAAGGATGGAGCTCTCAAGAGGACAGACAATGGAGGTATTACAATTTCACATTCATCTGTTCATGTAGTGTGGCTTGTATTGTCATTATGGACTTTTAGTGGTGTGAGCTTGTGGCTAGAGTTATGTCTCTTCTCTGCCGCTGTAGCGTCCTGGTCTGCACAGCGCATGTTTTACGAGTATGTGAGTGTATGTTTATGAGGGGGCGGTCCTGGGATGGGTATAGTGCGTGGCCTGTGAGGAGTCGTCTCTAAGGGTTCACCGTGAGGTCAGCTCAGTGGAGACTGTAAATATTCTGTGTGATTGTGTGTGTGTGTGTGGAGGGGAGCACAGCTGTGGGATTGTGTCCAGGCCTGCAGGGAGGCATCAGGACAAGACTAACACACACCGTTTTACTACTTTCTCTTTCATTTTAGCCTTCCCATGACCCCATTCTCCCTCGCTCCTGCGTTTTTCCTCATCTCTCTTTCACCATCTCTTCCCATCTCTAGACCCCCAGTTCATGACAGTTCCCCCTTCAGTTGTTGCTCTGTGTGTGTGTTATTTCAGGTGGGATGGTAATAAAGTTATCTTGATGGGATTAGTTTGAAATGGGCATTTCATCTCAAATTCCTCTGTAAAGGGGTGACTGATGGCCATTACATTTTTGACACGTGAATGCCATGTCTTATTCAATTTGAATCTTTATTTGTTGCGTTAAGATTTTTAAATGAATTGCTTTGTTGAAGAGGTACCTATAACACTGTATAAAACACCACAGGGCTAGTTTGACCTACATCACCATAATATTGTCAAGACGCATATTTTGTCACGATGCTGTGCAAAGCATTTTCAATAGCTTTGTTGTATGTTCCCTCCCAAGTCTTTCAAGTTGATAACACACATTTATTTTATAGCTAACATTTAATTAGTGATGGAAAGTACATGCCATAACAAACAGTAGACTTGTGCTGAGTTTGTCTAGTGATTTAGAGTTTTGTGGTTACATAATGGTTGGCAACAATGTGCTATTTAGGATTTACTAAAACTGCTTTGTCAGAACTTAACTAACAGAATTTAGTATAAGTTTGACGTGTCTTATATGAATAAATGATCTAGAATTCGTAAGAGTAAGAGAGTCACCACTCACTGCTTGTATGGTTCAGAGTGTGAACGCTCGATTAGAGTAGGAAGCCTTTGCCTTTTTTATAGTCCTGTTTTATAGGCCTCTTCCAGATTCTTGGAGGGCCTTCAAAACAACAACATGCCCACATTTCACACTCCCTCCCTCCCCTTGGCCCGCCCCCTGCCCTTCTCCCACCATCCCGTTCACCAGGTCAAAGGCAGGCCATGGGTTCAACTGTAAGTTTAAGCCTGTTTTTGTTTCCGCTATGGGGGGAAAAACAGACACCTCAGGCCTGGCTCCCACCTCGAGCTGACCTCCGGTTCACCTCAGCGGACTCCTCCTCGGCGCATCGTCAATTCTCTTGCCACTTTGCCATGCCCTGCTGTCACTCTGACGCCCCCAGTTTGTCTTCTCTGACAGGCAGCTGTGTGTGTGTGTGTGTGTGTGTGTGTGTGTGTGTGTGTGTGAGTGTGTGTGTGTGTGTGTGTTGCTAGGACTCAATAAACAACTACTTTGGTAGATTAACAACAATTTACAAATTAAAGCATTTTATGACTCCTGGGTTGAAAAGTTGAACTAGAGATATTTATGAGCAATATATAGTTGTGTCAAACCATGATTGCTATGGTAATGTTAGCACTAGACTCCATTGAATGCTTTCATTGTGATATTTTTTCCCTTTTTTGTGCCAAAACACTGAGGATCCCTCTCTTGTTTGCTTGTTTGCAGGCTGGGCTCACGTGGTGTGTGCTCTCTACATACCTGAAGTGGAGTTTGCAAATGTCTCCACTATGGAGCCCATTGTCCTCCAGTCGGTGCCACATGACCGCTACAATAAGGTAGTAACCAATTCACATCGTTTCCTAGTACTTGGTGTGTAAAATGAAGATAGATAGATCGATAGATTATTACACTACTGGACAGAGGAATAAGAATGGGTCTTGTGCGTGCACTGTATATTACATTAGATGAGTAATCTTACTCTCTATTTTTGTGGTCTAACATTTTCCATGATTTTATTTTGTATTGATAATTCTTTCTACTCTACTATTTAATAAACACTGCTGCACTTGTTCCTCCTGTACACATCTGCTGGACTGTACTATGAACACTACTTACTCTGGACAGTTAGTCACCAGGTTCCAGTCACCAGTTGTAATAATGTGCAATACTGTAGTAATTGAAATGGGTATCGCAGTGTTTCCACTGACTATTCACTCATTTGCATTATCTGCTAATTATTAATTCTGTTAAAGCTGATAATGCTTCGGTAGAGAACTTGCTGTACTATTAAGCGCACCTGTATAAACCTCACCTGCAACATTTTTATGTAACACGTAACCAAAAGCTAATGGAGCAAAATTATTAGAAGATAGGTGGCTGTTTCAACTGTTTTCACTCAGGCTAGCATGGTTAGCTTAGCTTCCATGGCGAGACACATTGAGCTAATCTATTTTAACAATGACGTGCATCCTTGCTACTAAAACTTGATGGAGTCAGAAAAACAAGTCCATAAACTCTACTCTGACCACAACCTAACTCGGCCACAATAAAAATATGCAAATTGGCTGCATCGCTATGTAGACTGCAGGGTTCAAAGATCTTGAAAGGGTCAATTAGGGTAGGTTATTCTAACATAAAGATTTTACTTCATCTCTCTCATTGACAGCTCTTTACCATGGTTATTATCTTTTGTTTTAAGTCCACTTCTATTCTCCTGCAACACTGACATTTCCGCACTCTGTAATGTTCTCAAATTTATTCTTTCTCATTTTAGACTTGTTACATTTGTGAAGACCAGGGCAGAGAGAGCAAAGCAGCTACTGGAGCGTGTATGACCTGTAACAAACATGGCTGCCGGCAGGCTTTCCACGTCACATGGTGAGACCCAGTGGCTTCACATTAACCTCATCAGACAAAGGACTGTTTTTACTTCAATCACCATACCACATTGACATGGATATTTACTTAACTGCATGTAGTTAGTTTTCCAATGCTCTCTAGTATTATTTTTAATTTTTATTATGAGTTATTTTTGTTACAGATTTGTTTTATAGCTGTAGTGTCTACTTGGAAAACTAAATCTTTTATGAAGTATGAAAGAATGTAGATCTCTGCCTTTGTAATCCAGACTGATATCATGATAAATAATTTGTTCAAATCTGATTCTGTTTTTTTTTTTTCAGTGCACAGTTTGCAGGTTTATTGTGCGAAGAGCAGGGATCCGATGCAGACAATGTCAAGTATTGTGGATATTGCAAATACCACCACAGCAAATTGGTAAGTGTCAATGTTGTGAATAATGGCACGATCTAACCACAGCTTTGTCACCAAAATTACATTTCATTTTTGGTTTGACCTTTTTTCTTTTATATGTCAAAGCTGAAGACTAGACCATAGAATTGTATATAGATCGTAGAATTTAATGCAAAGGAATGTTACTCACCCATCATCTGTACTTCTTAGCAGGTTTTCCCAATGTTTTGTCCTTAATCCAAATAACTTTTTCAAGGGAATGAAATCTCAGACCGTGCGTTGGAGATTTATAACCTATGTGTGCGGTTAGCCACACGCTAATCCTGAGGCTAACTCATAAACACATCTAAGGTGTTTATGAATGACCCTGCTATGGCTAACAATCCAAAAGACAAAAATTGGTTTGAGAGAGGGGTGAAAGAAGCCATTTTTTTGCCTCGCATCTATGACAATGTCCTAAAAACAACCAAACTATAGATAAGGTCTGTGACATGCTAATGAGTTAGGATCGTTAGCCCGAGCAGGGTCGTTAGACCTGCCCCCTTCCACATCTTAACACACCTTAGATGTGTTTATGAGTTAGCCTCAGGATTGGGTGTGGCTAGCCACACACATAGGTTATAAATCTCCAATGCGCGGTCTGAGATCTCATTCCCTTGAAAAAGTTATTTGGATTAAGGACAAAACTTCTGGAAAACTTGTTAAGAAGTACAGATGATGGGTGAGAAACCTTGCTTTGCTTTGACTAATCCCTGTACGACTGAGAGCTTACACAAACATAGAATTTAGTATGAATCATTCCAACTATTGATACAGTCTAACTTTATTGTTGAGTCTATGCTATGTTGATGCATTGTTTTCACACTCGCTTGTTGATGAGATCTGTGTAAAGTTATATAGTTTTTACAACTCTTTTTGCTACATTCATGCATTTTATTTCCCTTATTTCATTGCACCTTTATTGGTCATTGCATGTTTGTCGTCTCATCTTGAAACTTCTGCTGACACAAGGTTACTTTTGGCCACATGTATATATTTTGCTATGAATAGGGCTGGGTGATGTGGAGAAAAAAGATCTCGATATATTTTCCTATATCTCAATATCCAATATACATCTCAATATTTTTACACGATAAATAACCTCAAAACAACTTTTTTTTTTTTTTAAAGTAGCAATATGTAATAATTGCATGTCAAGTCATCATTAAATGGCCCCAATATTCCAAAAGGTGTTATTAAATCATGCTCTTTTCGAATACATCTTTAACAGAAAACAGTAGTTCAGCCGAGATATTTGAATATCAAAATTAGTTTTGCCAGAACTCAGCACGGCTTATCTCACTGGTAAAATAACATGTGGCCGCAGAACAAAAAAAGGTCTTATTATGACTCTCAAATCATTTATGACAAAACAAAGACTAAAACGAGGATTTTTATCGGGAGGCCTTTGAAAAATTGAGACAGCTGATAAAAGTTTTTGAGTGATGCAAAACTTACTGGAACCACACCGTTTCCCTCCGCGATGTGTAACGTGTCTAATGATGGCCTAGCAGTAAAGGCACATAATTAATGTTCCAGCGACCCGGGTTCGAATCCGAGCAATGTCTACTTGCCCATAACTACATTTTATGACTGATTGCTCAAAATCAGGTAAAAGACAATACTCAAGACGTTTTCTTGCAGATTATAGCTTATTTGTAAAAAATAATAATTTGAGACCACATGTACCCCAATTAAAATAATGTTAGTCTATTTTTGATTTGGAACTTATACATGTCTAAAAAAGAGGGAATAAATAAAATGTAAGGGTGATATTCTCTAGAGCAGGCATGTCAAAGTCAAATACATCAGAGGGCCAAAAAAACAAATTTGCTGCGAGCCGAGGGCCGGACTGGTTCAATATTTATTAACTCATTGTCTGCCAGCCAATTTCAGAAAAGGTACTCTCATATTGCCAGCAGTTTCTGATGATTTTTATAGATTTTTCAAGAATATTGTGTACTATGACTATCTGAAATCCGAAACCAGATTCTGAAAGAATGGACTGTCTACTTTCATCAGCAAAAATAATTTTGTTTCTAGCTTGTAATCCCCAGTTGAGTAGAGGGAAGTTTTACTGAAATGACCAAAAAGTTGAGAAAAAAGAGGCACAACAAGTGCATCTAGCTGTTTTCAAACCATTCAGAGAGCGCTGCTGCCACCTGCTGGCTCGATTCAATATGCTCTCAAGCTTATCCCCAAACATATTAGATATAATAGATATCTGGGAACATGAAAATAGCGGAAAACGCAATTAACGTAATAGTCCGTCAATGGCAAGCAACGTAAAATTCCATGTAAAATTCATTCGCGGGCCGGATTTGGCCCGCGGGCCTTGACTTTGACACATGTGCTCTAGAGGAAACCCTGATGTTGATACGCTGAAGAAATATGTTCCAACATCCATTCTTCCCACTCCTATTTTGGACATCAATTGCTTATTTATTTTGCATAATCTATGTATAATTAAATAGCTTTTATTTTGTTTTTCTCATCTCAAATGTCCAAATATATATCTAATATATTTTAAACATTCATTCAAAATATTCAATCAACATTAGCACGCCTCATGGCAATGTGAATGGAGACAGACAAACAACTGATAAAATAATTCCCTGTGTTTGCTGCTGGATTTGTTGTGTATCTGGCAACCTGAGTCAGGGAGAGTGGGAGAGGACTACAAAACATTGACTGTGATTGCAGTACCACTTTTGGCCAGATTTTTACATACTGCTCCTTTAAAATTGAACCTCAAAGAGGTCCTCAGTTTAAGTAGAAACAAAGTGTTTCTGTCACACATGTTTTAATTCTCTGCTTACAAAAAATACAATTTAACTGTAAAATAAATTAAGAAATAACACATAATGCCTTCTCTTCATTTAACAATTAAAACCACTCAACTCAAGGCAGGGAGTGCACATAGGAACAAAGTGCTTCTGCAACATTTAAGATAAAACAAAATCCATGGTTACATAAATATCTCAGGGACTACAGGTGTAAATTAGCACTGTTGCTATAACCTGGTACAATGCATCTCTCCTTCTGGCTAATGTTTATTGTACACTGTCCCTGTAAAAAAAAAAAAAAACCCCATACCAAACAGTTTTACCAATTCAGCGACAAGCTGTGTCTGCGTCGTGTTTTAGCTGCGTATAAAGTTTACAGTCTCTTGTATAAAGCCACGTTGTTCAATGACGACAATAAGTGCCCTGTCCATCGCTGTACGAAAAGCCACGGACTCTGATGCTACACCACCTGCGCTTCTGTCATATTCTACACGCCTGCTGCTATTCTACATATTCTACCTGCTTTTTTTTATACAAAAAAGCAGGAGGCGGGCGAGCAGACGAGCACAGCACAGAGAGGGCAAACGGGCAAAGCAGCAAATGTGAATTATAAACATTATATTGATGTCAAAATTCAAATTGAGTATAAATAATATCTTGATATATCGGGATATCGCCCACCCTAGCTGTGAATCATGCTGGGGTGGGGTTACTACCTTCTTACCAGGAATGCATTACGGACAATTGTGTTGTATTAAAGTACATTCATTTAACAAATTCCCCTTGGTGTTAAAACTGATTTTTACTGCCAATTGAAACTGAGATGAAACACAGAATTAATTAATTTAACCTCCAGGAATTAGTAATGTAATTCCTTTGTTGTTACTGTACTCACTTTGCACAAACAAAACAGGGGACAATATTTAGAATATTCTGTATTGTGCTACATTTGGAGACATATGGGTATCCTTTATCAGCACACACAGCGCCAGATGACATTTGGCAATGTTAACAAATGCTGATGGTAGGACACATGCTGCGATATTGATCTGGGACGAATGGCTTTGGATGGTGGAGCATAATGTCATTAAGCTGGGATTGTATGTATGACAGCGGTGTACAAAAGAGAATCAATAATGAAGAAAGCAATGTGTTGATGGCTGTGGGTTTTCATAAATTCTTTAGGATTTTTATTTTTTACAGTTTAAATGTATGATAAATTAGGGGTGAGATGACGAGACGTCAGATTTGGATCCACAAGATCAAAACATGATTTGGACATTATTGTTTCACATTATTTTGTCTTTGTAGAATTTATTTTGTAAATTGGTCTAACTTCAAATATTTGTAAAATCCCTTCTGTTCACTCATATTTGTTTCATTTAAGATCAAAGTTAAACATCCATCATTATTCTTATATTTTGTGTGTGTGTGTGTGTTCCACTGAGTAAGGTTGCAATTGTTGCTTTAGTTTTATTGCATGCTCAAACTATATTTGAAATACATTAAATTGTGTTGTTACTTTTTTCATTTTTTGATTTAGGTTACACTGTTACTTGTGAAAACCCAAAGTTTACATTGTCTGTGTTTAAAAAAAGGAACACACTATAATATATTGTCTTCCTAGATGTTGTGGGCAAAATAAATTGCCCGGAAGTGTGCTTGTGTGGAAATAATCCTATGATTATATTATGCACTTTTGATCACTATGGCAACATACTGCATACAACATTAAAACAGCTTGGCTTAAGAAGAAAAGACAAATCACAAAACTATGTGCTAATTTTTAGTTGTGATGCCTTTTTGTTTTTCCTTTTGTCTAATGTCCAGACTTTATTATAGTACAGTATATATTTAAATACAGTAAATCTGGCTTGCCAATTGCACATCATAATTAACAATACTAGACGCCAATAATATTTTAATTGCTGTCTGATTGGACCCACCCATCTCTGTCTCCCTTTTGCTTTCTTGTTTCTTAAATGGTTTGATTTAAGTTTTATTTTGTGTGAAGTGAACTTCATCCAGTAACTTGGAGTTCCTCTTTACTTTTTAGCGAAGGAGCAGGGGCCGTGGTAGTAGGTCTCAAAGCTTAAGTGACTCTTCCTCTCAATGTTTGGATAGACCCTCAGACACGGACATTAAGGTAAGCCCTCAGTCCTGTGTATGCCTCCCCTCCATAAATGTGCCGCTGCAAGAACTCATTACATGCCTCACAATGTGGCAGTAGGCACCAACACGAGGTACACTGAGATCTGATCCATGCCCTCCATTGTCCATTCTGATTCACGGAATCTGTAAAACGTGATTACATTATAGTCTATTATTAGTTAAAATTAAAACATAAATATATCCTGTGTCTCTGTGTGTGTGTGTGTGTGTCTATCTGTCTGTCTGTGTGTGTGTGCGTGTGTGTGTGTGCGTGTGACATATTCGGGGAAAAAAACCTTTTGTATTCACCTTCCCTTCTTCGAAGTAAACCTCTTCGGTCAATATCCATCCAGGCCTTATGTAATATTATTGACGTAATTTGATTATTTTTAGAGGTCATTAATAATATCCTCTTAACATTTTCCAAGTATTATTTCCTAAAAGTATCTAATATATGGTATATTTTTTGTCATTGCAGTCTGGTGTTCTGTTTTAGTATTCTTACCAGTAAATGTCCTGTCAAACAACCTCAATGTAAACAATAGCATGAAGAAGATGTATTTTCCTTTGGAGACATGTTGAACAAGTGCCTTCGTTCATTTGATGTCCTTTATTTTAGAGCGTTAATTATTATTTTTTTGCCGTGAAAATGTTCGGCACACATGAGCACATTTTGTAGATGGGACTTGTCCATAAAATGAATTATCATTTTGTATTCTCATCTAGATTACTAAAATAAATCTATTGTAGTAATAAAATTAAAAAAAATAGCCCTATTCATGAGGATGATAAAAAACGGGGACCATTGCCATAGTGATTAACTATTAACTATTTTAGCTCTATTGTAATAATATCGTTATAGTTGCTTGTGTGACGGGGAATTTACCAGTTTTTCAGGTCAATCAGTTTTGTCAACATTCTGGATCAGACTGCTAAAAATGTTTGTTTTTGCAATGCATTTATTGCGTTTGAACCTTAAAAAACAAAACTTTGATAACCATTTTTGCATTGGTAAATTAAACAAACTATTCCAAAATAGCCTGGAAAAGTTTCTCCTAAAAATATACTGCATTAAGTGTATTTAGGCTTAGGGTACAACTTGCAGGAAGCCTGCAGAAATAATTGACGGAAAGTTTGAATGGATGTGTGACTTTAGGAACATTTGCTTCCATTCAGCCACAATTGAAATAATTAATACATCTGTTATATTAATGTAAACCATAATTCAAGATTTGTCAAAAGAATATGATGTGGTGTGGGGTTAAATACATCTGCTGCATTGAGGCACCTTGGCATCAGAAAACCAAAGGGCCAACATTTTTATTTCAAGTTATGATTTAGATTTTGTATTAGTGATTTTAAAATATCATTAATTGTATATGTAATGTTTGTAAATGTTTATGGTAACCAAGCACATTTTGTCAATTAGTGCAAATGCAGCCTTTGGCTCAGCGTATTACTTAAATTGTATGTCGTGGCTCAGATGTTATTATTAGTGGCTGATTTGAATTGTGAGAGTGCGTGTACTAGAGCTAGTGCGAGCTAGAGAGAAGTCCAAATATGAGGCTCAGATAAACTCCCCTTATGGTCCTGGAGCCTCCACATAAACACAATCGCACATACTTACAATGGATGGTCAGAAAATGTAGCAGGAAACTGCACAGGGGAATTCCTGCCTGGCCAGGGAGGATTATCTTCCATTAACTTCCTGTTCCTATGTTTCCCCAAGTCTTCCTCACCCCTCCTCTCTGGCTGTACCCCTTCCTCCCTCCTCTTGTGTTCAAATGTTCGTCATTAAAAGTAACAAACGTATCTAAATCTAAAACTATACTGTGATTAAGGTGCGTGAACACAATTTTATCAGGTTTTCCTTGTTGGTTACTTTTGTGCAATACATCAAGATGAGGATACGTTGTAGTTTTGCTTCTTGCCATTGATGCTAACATTTTAATGATCATTTTAATAAGGATTGTATTTTTAGTATTGGTTTTTGTATTTTTAGTACACCTTTTGTGAATACTTCTTGATGTCACTTGTATTTACATCTATTCACAAATGTTTATTATTTGTCTTAGAACCCCAGATCCTCTGTTGCTGAAAGCACAAGTAAAAGACACATTTCAGAGTGATGATTGACTTTTCCAGCTTGGGGGGCCACCATCAGCCTTTAGACATAGACAGAGAGGGTTTCAGACTGCTGTTGTATTGCCTATTGTTGGAGGATTGCTGATAAATTGGTGCAGCTCTCTTCCCCTGTCTCCTCTCATATTTAGCTCAGCTGCCTCAAAGGCCACTTGGACATGTCAAATGATTGGGCTCCTAATGGTCAGCTGTGTAGAAAGAGAGCAGAGGACACTTTAAAAGCCTGTGTCTCTGCTTCTATAATCGATCGACCTGATTGATAAGGGTGTGTCAGAGGTACATTGTGTGGCTGTTGTGTTTCCCACGCCCAGTGCTCTGGCTCTGTGCATACATGTGCGTTACCCGAGCTCCTCTGTGCTGCCTGCGTCCGTCAACACCTTCTCAGGAATGTTAATGAAAAACAACAAGGGAATCCCCTAGAAGTGACCCCTCATTCTCTCAACTATCATTGTTTTTTGGTTTTTGTTGCACTAAATCAGGCCAACTTTAGATATTGTTTTGATTAATCCCCTGAAATTGAAGTTTTTTGTCAAAGTCTGCTAAAAAATTACTAAACTGTTTCACAGCCAGAAAAAGGTCTTCAGGTGTTTAAAATGCCATGTCGACCCAGGACGGTGGAGCGGGTTGGCGTGTTGCTTGAACATGCATAGTTTCACGATTCAAGAATTGCCCCTGTGTGACTTTAGTGTAGTTTGATATGTCTTCACCTGACCCACATGCGAGCAATGGGCTATAAAACCTGTGGTAGGACCCGAGCTGAGAGCAGAAATACCGCCCGCAGAGGGTGAAAATGGCAAAAGAAAGAGTAAATATTCATTATTGGGCCATAAAGTTCCATGCAGAGTCTTTAAATGTAGCGGGATTGCACTTAACACTTCCGCTCACTAGTGAGGCGGTAAAGACAGTAGAATGTCACGAGATCATTTGCTACCATTTTTTTATGAAAATAATCACAATAATTGCCTTATTGTTTTGTATCAGGATATATGTATTGTGACCTACGTATCATGATACGTATTGCATACCCCTAATATTTTTTTTTAATTTTCTCTTGTTATTGTTCTTTGCATGTAATTTGTGATGAAGTTGAGGTTCCGGACGAAGGGTGACCAAGCCTTCTCTGTCCTGGCTCCTCGGCTTTGGAACGAGGAGCCAAGCTAGCATGAGGCTATCACCATCAGTATATTCTTTTAAATCACTTCCTAAAACCCACTTTTATCAAACAGTTTTTAGTTGTTAGTTTTAAACGCTGTATTTTACTGTTCCACTTTGTCTTTGTTTTGTCTTTCTTCTTGTGTTTCCTCTGTCTGCTTTGTCTTCCTGTGTCTACTGTGAATTATTTTGACTTTGTATTATTATGGCTGATTATAATGTTGACTTTGCAGCGCTTTGTAAACATTGTTTCGCAAAGTGCTGTACAAATAAAGATTTGTTATTATTATAATGATCAAATCTGGCAAATATCCAGATTTATTTTTGTACTCATTGTTGTCCGGCACGCATTATCATAAGGAAAGGAAACTTAATTAATTGTGCATTTAATAGAAAACATAAACAAAATTAAAACAAAATTCTCTGGTCTAAAAGCTTTTTGTCGCTCACATCAGCGGAAACAGAATGGAGCATGTTTCTTTAGAGTTGCTATCTCATTTGTGAGGCACTGATGTCTGTTAACTGCAGGAAGTATGGCTAACCGTCACCAGCCAAGGAGACAGGCCAAAGAGGGACCCTGAAGCACACATTGGGGAGAGGCTTCCAATCGATCCTTTGTAGACTCACTGCATATTCTGTGTTTGTGTATTCATGTTTGCCTCATTTTCAATGGCCACACTTACACTTGTGTTCGCTTTGTTACACACCTGTCTGTCCTGTGCACTGTATTGCAGTATGATGGTGCGAGAAGGGTGCACTAGGAGCAAATCTGTTGGCACCCAGTCGTCACCTTGGGGTGTGAGCATAGGGTGCAGGAGCTCTGTCTGTGTGCGAGCGAGGGTAAATTGAGCTGAGATAGTCTAAAAAAGAAGATATGATTGGATGAATCAATGAGATCATGTGGGGTTTCGTAAGGCATTTTGAAAATAGGCTCTGAATTGATGTTTCAGAATGCTCCTTTTTATCTATGTTTTTAACAACTTAAGTAGGCCAAATGATTCATTGAAATACTGTGTTGGGTTGTGCTGTTTTGAAGGCAGAAGAGGTTATAAAATATAAACTTAGCCTGTGATACATCTCACAAATGATCAGCGCTTCAGTTTATTATTAAAGTCCAGCAATACAAGAGCAATGTGGATTATGGTGTATGGGAGGTTGATGTGTTATGGTCTCTACAATCCAGACACTTACTGTAAATCTCTACATCCTGATCATAAAGGTTCATTCAGTACCAAACATCACCAAGTGTGATCAACTAGCTCATTCATTATCAAGCCAATTAGCATAAGGTGCTACTGTAGTAATCTCTTTGTGATGGTTTGATTTGTGGTAGATAAGAGACCATTTTCATGAATGTTCTAAACTCTGAGCACTCGCTTTAGACTCTAGAGCAGTTTATAGGAGGTACGTCTTTCTGCACTCGTAACCGCGCTCATGTCTTAGACAGCTTCACCCATCTGTTTCCTCTTCTGTTCTTCCCCCTGTTCAGAAACACAAGGAGCGGGACCGACACAAACCCAAACACAAGAAGAGCGCCATGGACATGTCTCCCTCCTTAGTTCTCCCAAACATCATGGTCCCTGACAAGGTAACCCTACCACTATGGGCCACTTAAACATTGTAGCTTAAGTGGAAACATTCTTTTGCCTCAAAGAGTTAAAGAAGCTATACCCGATGTTTTTTTTTTTGAGTTCATAAAAATGCTTATTATTACATACGAGTTTTATTATAATCCGTAATTTAATTGAAAACTTGAGCTTATTGATTCAGCTTGTGTATGAATTCAGTCCGTAAAAAGTGCAGAGTAGAGACTTTGCGTGACGCTTGCTCTCCTCCACTCACAGTCTGCGTCCCCTAGCCTCTACAGCGCTGCTAAGCACAGTAGCATGTTTGGCAATAACTCCTCTTGCTGTAACTGCATCCACAGCAAAACCGCCCAAACGACGCAACAGAGAGGAAAAGCGAAAAAATGATCAAAGAAGAAATCAAGCCCGGGTGAACATAGCTAGCTTACATCGTATCGTCTGGAGAGACTTACAGTCTATGGGAGAGACCTGCGGGTGCGGGACCACCTCGGACTACATTCGGACGCGAAACTAGCGGTAATCTTAGTTATATATTTTGTTAGCAGTGCGTTGACCAGATGGCTCCGTGGGATGAGGGTTAGGGTTAGGGTTAGAAGTCTGTGAGAGAGTTGAGTGGTGGTGCTAAACATTCAAACCTTGCAGAAACGGGTATAGCTCCTTTAACCTTCGTTTTTCAAATCTTGTTATTTTGATGGCCTTTGTTCATTCTTTTCTGTCCTTCCTCTTATCTATGCTTTGTCTTTCCTGGTTTTGGTCCCACAGAACTTCAACAGCACCAGCACAGGTGGGGGAGTGCCCTCTCAGCCCACATCCTCTCAGAAGAGATTAGAGGACAGTGCAGGACGCTTCACCAACGCCAACTTTCAGGAAGTCTCCTCTACCTTATCCAACAGTGTCTCCAAGGACAGCATGTCTGCTGATGGGAACAAGGCCGCTGTCGATCAAAAGAACAAAAAAAACTGCAGCAGTACTGGGACTCATGCGACTGTATCAAGGGGGGGCCGCAAGTCACTCACCTCCTCAGGAAAACCCCTCCCTTCTGCTGTAGTCACCATGGCAACTTCTTCCACATCTGTGTCGGCCTCCACAGGGCCTTTTCATCAAGGTGAATTAATGACTGTAAATCGTCAGGATTTAACTATAGATATGTAATATTTCATATTTTAAAAATGTATGTGAATATACATTGAGGTAGCACACCTCTGTGATGACTGTATTGGGTGTGGGTGTCAGGGTGCCTGTACAGTGAGACATGGTCCATGATTAGGGGAGGACCTTGTGTTTGCTTTGTATAGTCGTGTTTCCACCGCAGGAGTTCCTGGTAAAAGGTTGTGGGTGGAACTTCTACAGGAACTGTCCTCTCACTCGGTCCCCTTAGTAGGACCTTTCGGCGATGTCATGAGTTTCGATTGCTGCTAAGCAAAACTCATCACGCCAAACCCATTTACTGTATTTATGTTATGGTCAGAACCGCTCCGGTGGTTGTGGTCTTTGAGTTTTTTTTATAGTCCTGCTTCAGTTTTTGTAATTTATTTTTTTACTTTTCACGGCTTGTTTTTGAGTGTGATGAATCCCCATTGCTTTGAGGTTCCCTGTTATGTCTTAATATATTTTTTCATTTCGTCACAATGCCTCAAACCCCCTCTGAATCAATGCCTACACCTCATCATCTGTCCATTTATCGTACATCTTTCTGTTTCCAGTGGTGTCTGCTAGGCAAATGCGGCTGGATTTTAAAAATGGCGTTGTTTTGGTGCTTTCTGCTGGCGTCAGAGGAGCCTGCTCTAGCGTTGGCCTATTAGCGCTGGGTTAAGCTCAAGCCCCACCAGGAGCTTTTCACGGCCGAACGGAGTACCTAGCATGGAGGAGGTACTCCGTTGGGCCCCGTAAAAGTTCCTGTAAATGACCCTGTGGGGGAGGGTCTTGCAGTGGAGACACGCACCAATGAGGCTGGCCCTGTAAAATTACCCCGAAGTTCCTGCATTAGAATTGCGGCTTATGATCCCCATTCCTCACCTACAGACCCTGTCAGGTGTGTGAGTAAAAATGGAGTAGGAAAGATTTGTGCATCTGTTGTTTGGGCTATTTTTACCTTACGGAAATGTTATAAGGATTAATTTAGCTATGGATTCCTTATGGGTTTAAAAGTCTTTCATCATTAGTTCTTATCGCTGTGCACTTCCTCACTATGTGTAATTAAATTGTTGATATTTGTTCTATTTTGTTCTGTGTTCCTTGCAGGACTTTTGTTGACTAGTGCCAATAAGATTCCCTCTGGTTCCTCCGACTTCCTCAGTTTTACAGACTCCTCGTTGCGTCCTGGACCTGGCACAACATTCTCCTCTCCGCCATCATTCAGCAGCTGCCTCAAACCCAGTTCAGAGAGCGCAGGTTCAGACGGGACAACCACTCTCTTTGGCTCTCTGATGTCGACAAGTACAGCCTCTGCAGGTGCTGATTCTCTAATTATTGACTAAGGAATTGATTTGAATGATGTCACATGATATGAAATAAAGGCGTTATAAATGACTACCTCCTTGATTTATTTTAACTATTAACTCTTTCTATTCACTTTTTAGTTGGCGGGAAGCTTTATGAAAATTCTCACAGTCACTTGACAAATGACACGACAAGCCTGGCTGGATCCGCAGGCTTTAAACGTGCTCAGCCCTGCAGCGCCAGCCCCGCAATAGGAGGAGCGGATGACGGGGTGAAGAAGAAGAAGAAAGGAAACTGGAAAAATAGATTTGGGCCATGCTTCACCACAGATGTAAAGCCCCCAGAGGTAGCTCCCTCCCTGACCCTGCCCACGTCTGCAGCCAACAGCGTGTCCTCTGTGCTCTCGGGACGACCCGGCTTAACGTCCAGTGGAGGATTAGGAGTGGGGGTCGTAGGGGACAAGGGCCTGGGGGTCATGGGGGTCGGTGGGATTCAGAAGTCTCCATCTCTCCTCAGGAACAGCAGCAGTGCCACAACTGTGCCAGGTATAGTACAATGCGGTGACACAAGCACAACACCACTCTAGGTTTGTTGGAATAGAATATTACATTCTATAAATTATATATTTATGATAAATGCTAAATTTATATACAAAATCCTTCTCACAGTGAGGTGTGTAGGATGAGGATTTAATGCATTAATTAAAGGATACTGTCTTCTATTGTGAACATTTATTTAGAAGTGAGGAGCGCTCACTTCATCAGGCACTCAGGCACTAGACCTAATGCACTCTGCTGCTGCTGGTCACTTTCGCAATCCAAGTAAGACCGTGTGCGGTTTTTTCTCTCAATATATTAATTATCAAATATCGTTCCCATTAAATATAATTTATAACGTCTGAATACACTTTAAAAACAGCTTAGTTTGAATTGTACTTACTTTGTTTTATTGTTATTTTAATTTATTATATAAAATTGCCAAATTATCCTTTTAAACTCCTACAAATTAGAACAACTTCAGCTTTATTTTTCCCCCGTTTTTAGCCTTTGTTTTGAAACACTTCTAAAGAAGTGTGTACAGTGCCTTGCAAAAGTATTCAGCCCCATTGAACCTTTCAACATTTTGCCACATTTCAGGCTTCAACCATAAAGATATAAAACATTTATTTTTTGTCATGAATCAACAAGTGGGACACAATCGTGAAGTGGAATGAAATTTATTGGATAATGAAAAGTGGAGCGTGCAATATTATTCGGCCCCTTTACTTTCAGTGCAGCAAACTCAGTCCAGAAGTTCAGTGAGGATCTTTGAATGATCCAATGTTGTCCTAAATGACTGATGATGATAAATAGAATGCACCTGTGTGTAATCAAGTCTCCGTATAAATGCACCTGCTCTTTGATAGTCTCAGGGTTCTGTTTAAAGCGCAGTGAGAACCATGAAGACAAACGAACACGCCAGGCAGGTCCGAGATACTGTTGTGGAGAAGTTTAAAGCCGGATTTGGATACAAAAAGATTTCCCAAGCTTTAAACATCTCAAGGAGCACTGTGCAAGCAATTATATTGAATAATATCAGACCACTGCAAATCTACCAAGACCCGGCCGTCCCTCCAAACTTTCATCTCAAACAAGGAGAAGACTGATCAGAGATGCAGCCAAGAGGCCCATGATCACTCTGGATGATCTGCAGATAACTACAGCTGAGGTGGGAGAGTCTGTCCATAGGACAACAATCAGTCGTGCACTGCACAAATCTGGCCTTTATGGAAGAGTGGCAAGAAGAAAGCCATTTCTCAAAGATATCCATAAAAAGTCTTGTTTAAAGTTTGCCACAAGCCACCTGGGAGACACACCAAACATGTGGAAGAAGGTGCTCTGGTCAGATGAAACCAAAATCGAACTTTTTGGCCACAATGCAAAACGATATGTTTGGCGTAAAAGCAACACAGCTCATCACCCTGAACACACCATCCCCACTGTCAAACATGGTGGTGGCAGCGTCATGGTTTGGGCCTGCTTTTCTTCAGCAGGGACAGGGAAGATGGCTAATCCATATGGATGGAGCCAAATACAGGACCATTCTGGAAGAAAACCTGTTGGAGTCTGCAAAAGACCAGAGACTGGGACAGAGATTTATCTTCCAACAGGACAATGATCCAAAACATAAAGCCAAATCTACAATGGAATGGTTCACAAATAGACGTATCCAGGTGTTAGAATCAAAGTCAAAGTCCAGACCTGAATCCAATCGTGAATCTGTGGAAAGAGCTGAAGACTGCTGTTCATAAACGCTCTCCATCCAACCTCACTGAGCTCGAGCTGTTTTGCAAGGAGGAATGGGCAAGAATTCCAGTCTCTCGATGTGCAAAACTGATAGAGACATACCCCAAGCGACTTGCAGCTGTAATTGCAGCAAAAGGTGGCGCTACAAAGTATTAGCGCAAGGGAGCCGAATAATATTGACCGCCCCACTTCTCAGTTTTTTATTTGTTAAAAAAGTTTAAATTATCCAATAAATTTTATTCCACTTCACGATTGTGTCCCACTTGTTGTTGATTCTTGACAAAAAAATTAATTTTATCTTTATGTTTGAAGCCTGAAATGTGGCAAAATATTGAAAGGTTCAAAGGGGCCGAATACTTTAGCAAGGCACTATGAGAGTTACATACAAAACTAAGGTTCTATGAATTCCTTCCTAACTACATGGCTAATATGTATTCACAGATCTGCTTAAAGTTTGCATTACGGTCTAAATGCATACTGGAGACGTCGCACAGAGAAAACAATGCTGTCTGTGTCAGTAATCGTGTGTAGCTGCTGTCTCTGTTTAGGGTGTTGTGTTGTTAGCCCTGTGAGCTGCAGCTTTAGTCACGTTAGCCGCTACACATTGAGTCTGGACTAATTGTGTGCAGGAAGGTTTTATACAGTTTATGGTTGGGGGCCAATCTTTTTTCCAATTCCGAGAATTCCGGATACTCATAAAAGACCCAGATCAGCGGCTGATACAGAGAAATTGGATTGGGACATCCCTATTTAAAAATGCAGTGCTGCTCCGTGGAAGAGGCTTTTGCAGAGTAAGACAGTGGATCACCGGGACTCACTGGACTGGACTGTGATGATGGGAATATCAGTAGACTCTGAGCATTGGCCCAGCCTGTTTATTTGTGGGGAACCACTAATATATTGGTAAAAATGTGTCCCTTAAAACTGTGTGATGACCTGATGTCATTATTGGGTGGTATAATCTTTTCTTTTCCAGCACTTGCCTTGTTCTGTGTGTAGCCAGAATAATTAATAAATAATATTAATTAATTAAATTGATAGACCGCTTTGTAGCAGAAAGTTGACAGACTCTTTCACAAATGACGAGATTGGACACACCTTTTTACTGGCTGCTTGTGCAAGCACAGTTCTGGTATTTCCTATACACATGAATGTGGTCTGTATTTCCTCTTTTTTCCTCATGCTCTGTTGCTTGGCAACTGTCTTTATGCTACGGAGTTCCCTTGGAGCACCCACATCTTGCAGCTCCTCTTTCTTCAGAATGGCCCTTTTGTTTCTCTTGCCTCTTACCTGCCTGCTAAATCCTAACCTGTTGATGCTTTAGCTGCTTAACACTTCTTCTGATACTAATTACATTTACATTCAGTTCATCAACTGGCCAACAACTCTCATAGACTTAGAAGGACGATGAAAACAGACAATATGGTGTGTACACTGTGTTTAGGAATCTGTGAATATTGAACTTATGGTTATTGCAGGGCAGTTAGGAGGCGGGTCACGATGACTCCTTCTCAGTCCCATTCATGTCCTTATTGTTGAAAGATAGGAATAGTTGGTAGACTTGATCATGTGCATATTTGCGTTTTGTGTGTGGGACGGTGCAGGTTAGATTTTGGCCAAGTTAATGTTTGACTGCATGGGTTACTGATGAGTTAGTTGAGTCAGTGCAGTCAGTGTTTGCAATAAGCACACATTATTAAAATGTAATCTAATAATTATCAAAAATTATATATCAACAATTAATGTCGTCAGAAAAATTCGCGGCAAGGTAAGTTTATTTTTATAGCACAATTCCTACACAACGCAAATATATAAACTTTAAAATCTTACACATATAATTATGCATTTAGATAAAAAGCACACATGCCTGCCCAGGGACTAAGGGTGTAAATTAGCTCCTGAGCTATAACCTGGTACAATGCATCTTTCCCTTTGAGGTTAATGTTTATTGTACACTAAACTAAACTAAAAACTAAACATGCATACATACATATGTATGTGTGTGTGTGTGTGTGTATATATATATATATATGTGTATATATATATATATATATATATATATATATGATGTATAAGTAAATTCTGTGCTATTATTAATCTTGACAAACGTACAGAGGCTGTATCAGTTTTCAAGGTGCACATTACAAAGCGTTATAAATGCCTCGTTTGCCCATGTAGCGTTTGTATATCTCTCTCTCTGTCTCTCTCTGTCGCTCGGCCTCTCTCTTCGCTCGCCCCTCCCGCCCCACACAAAGATCTCTTGTTTCTCCAGTGAATGTATGCTGCCCTGAGCCATTCAGGCTTTTGTGGGACCGAGGGGCCCGTACTCCCCCTCCTCTGCTGGGGTCAAAGGGAGGCATGGGGGGCTTATCCGTGGATATTGGGCAAGCACTGGGTTGTGCAGAGAAAAGACAAGAGATAAGCGACTGGGGAGAAAAAAAAATCTGCATTAATTTAAATGTTTAATATTCCTCTGGGAAAAAAGAGCATAAAGAAAATGTCAGAATAGTGTGCAACAGTAGATCCTAATGACCCCCCTACCTGTAGGCTTGTGTATTTATGTAATAAAACATTGGTTGGTTACTATCTTCCTGGTAATAAATAATTATGTCACTATTGTTTTTGATTCAAACCAGTTATTAATTAGATTCAAATCTTTCACTTTCACGATCTGACTATTTTGAGGCCCCTCTTAAGGATAAAGGATAAAAGCATCTGTCTGAATGTTATATGTGAAGGTAATGTGGGCTGTGCCTCTCCACAGGTGTTTTCTCTGGTGGCGAGGGGTTATCGTCAGGGGCAGCCACTGTCTCTGGGGGCGGAGTCAGCTCAGAGTTGTCACAGCAACAACAGCCCGCACCTTCCCTGGCCCCTCCTTCTGCATTCAGCGCCGCAGCTCCGCTCTGCAGCACAGCAGCCACACACGTGAGTCCGGAGACGTACACACATGTCATGACACTGTTATATGCTGCTCAAAAAGATCTAATCACTGCAGCATTAAGATGTGAGAGGCATTTAACTTGACTGGCAACACACTGGACGGCTAAAAAGAAACTTGCGTGTGAACACAAAAATCATTACCCCTTCACTGGTGACGGTCACATATTTCATTTTATTTCACTTTGTCTCAAAAAGAAAATGAACCTTCTGTTTTGAAAATCAGGGGAAATGTGTGTGAATGTGGCACACACACCCATAGAATATATTATAGCATTTCATGTTATTGTTTAATTCAATTTAAATGTAGTCAAGTTATAATAATATTTCTATGTATTTCGTCTTATTCAAGTTATTCATGATTTGGAAATATTCTAAAGGTAAAAAACGAATTGACTCCACCTCTCAAATTGTTACACACCTCGGCTTAGATAAACAATGGTAACCAATAAATACAGCCCTCTAATTAGCCATCTCCTTTATTAAAACAGAATGTTAATTATGTGTGAAATGTGTGAGTCTTGACCTTGTGTGAAGTGTTTTTCTTCTATGATTCACACATGTGTGTAGCAAAGTAAAGCAGCCGTATTTCTGTTCAAGTATTTATTATTCTGGCCCTAATTTAATAAGCACCTTGAGGCTTGTGCTGTTTCTGTATGATCATAACATGTGGTTTTTTAGATGGTAATTTATGTTCAGAAATGGCTGACAGATGAATACCTAACAGGTTGTGTCTTTTCAATTCACTTCTAAGTGTGTGTTTTGATGGAAAAGGTGTTATGCAGTGCTAGATTTATCATCGATATATTTTACAGTAAGATGCCCAAACATTTCAATCACAAATACAGATCACAAAAACTGAGTTTTGCTTTTTAAAAACTGTATGAAATGAATGAAGTTGTAGATGAGACAATTGTGCACAGCTTTCACTTTTAGTTTTCTTCCCCAGCATTTATGAAAATGTGTTTTTGTGTTTAAATATATACAAGATATATTTTCCTTCTCATGCGGTGCTCTAAAGCCTAGCGTACATCGACAGAGAAACTGGGGACAACTAGTTGCAAGGCGGCTTTTGGCAACTGAGAGGAGATGGTGGGAGATGATCAGTTGCCGAAATCGGTCGATGTGCGCGCTCTTACAACTGGAGATGATCAGTCGGTCTCCAGTTCCAGTCAGTTGCCCGTGTTCTACTTTTCGGCAACTAGTTGTCCTCAGTTGCCCCGATGTGCGCGCTCCATGCGCCGCTCCGACAACGTGTGTGTATTGCGTGTATTGCGAGCCTGCAACAGTTTATGTCAGAAAACACACTGTGGTTGAGGCCAGTTGCTGTCGATGTACGCGCTGTTATTCAAGAGACTGGCCTGCGACTCAGAGTTGCCCGTTTTCGCCAGATTGTCGATGTGTGCGGGGCAGCAACTCAGAGGCGACGGATATAATCAGTTGCCAGTCCGATGTACGCTAGGCTTAAAGCTCTAACTGCAGCCCATTCACCGGCTGCGCCTGTTGTCTTGTGATGTAATGACGAGAGACAAGCGCCTCCGCGTTGGAGCAGAGGGGAATGTGGCTCACGTTTAGACGGAGGTTCAGGGAACACATCACTCCTGTTTATCGCATCTGCTTTAACATTTCTGTGCGCCCTATTGGATATTTAGCCTTCATGATTTTTTATGATGTACAAATTAATACATTATATTTATTTTATATTTTTGGTGTGTGTGTTATATTGGTAACTAGTTTGATTCTTATCTTGATTGGTCAGAGTATATAGTAAGTAAGTAATATACATCAAATAATGTGTTATATTGGTTTTCACGTTGCTCCCGCTGGTCATCCTCGATCACACCTATCCGTCACTTCCAGTCCTTATTTGGGAAATGTCTTAATTGGATTAAACGCTATGCATCAGAAACACTTTGTCCACATGTCAGTGTGGTGCTGGGGTGCGGAGGCTCCTACTGCTGTGTACGTCATACATTATCACTATACTGTACTAAATCCTTGTTATTCATCATAATTCGTATGTTGTTTTTTTATATTTATTGTTTTAAGTTTTAAATAATTTACAGGAAATAAATCCCTCAATTAAAATATTATAATATTCAGATTTTCATAATATATTCCATAATTTAAATATTGTGCAAGGACATGTGTATTTTAAGTTTTAAAATAACATTCACAGAACAGAGAATATATATCCACGATACCTTTACTTTAATTATACTGTCTTTCTCCTTTTTTTTAACAGTATTTGTTGAATGTATCAGTAGAATCATAATGTGATTAAACTTTATGTGGCAGTTGTTTCTTTTTTATTAGAATTAGTGTCGTTTAATTTGATTAGAAGCTGAACTATATCATGTGTGTGTCCACAGGTGAGTGGTCTTCCCGGCTCCGTCTTTAACTTGGCCCCGTCCCACATGTTTGGAAACAGATTAAACCCAAACTCTGCCATGGCGGCGCTCATTGCACAGTCTGAAGCCACTCCTACGGGTAAACGCCTCATGATTATGAATGCACACAGCTGCTTGCCCTTCTGTTTGTTAAATGTTAAGTCAGTTATTTTACAGTAATTTAGTTCGATTTAAGTCACAAAATATTCCAAATGATTCACATTTATTTGGCCTGTTAACAAATACGTTCTTCTGTGTGCTGATATCTTGGTGAATATTGTTGTGAAGCATAATGTGTTTTTGGTAGCGAGTGTCTGATGAGGGAGTGGGAGATGGCTTCAATAATGAGTAGCCATTTCCTGATACAAGACATCTGGCGGTGAGCGATGGAGGAGCAGGGAGAGTGAAGAGGAGGAGAGGTTTAGTAGTTCCTGCCACCGGTCAGCAGTCACCGCCGCCAGAGCTGCTCTGACCTCAGGGTCAACTCACTAATCAGGCTGAATGACAGTGGGCCACGGCTCGCAGACACAGACAGCAGCATCCACATACAATGAAGCTTTGTGTATAACCAGTAAAAGAGAACCAGTTACTCCATCTATGGGGAAGTAAATATTTAAGTTGAACTGTAATATTGTATATTGTTTTCTGCACACAAGCCTATTTAAAAAGGCAATTGTTCATGCTGATGGTAATTGAAAATGAAGAAGTGATTTTGCACGGTTTGGCTGTGTCACATGAATTTCTTGGGAAGCGATCATGTGATGGTCTCAGCATGAACTCTGTGAGCTGATGGGCCCTGTGACTGGCAGCACGTGTGAACAGACCCAGTAGCAGCAGTTTTGTCCCTGTGCTAACGGGGCCAAGTGTGCATGTAAGGCTAAGCATATAGCCTGTTTACTTTGGCACATTCTCTGTCGCTGGAGTTTCTGGACAGAGGAAAAGGGACATTAGAAAGGCATGAGTAGGGGCTGGAGTGCTGACCTGTTGGGCTAAAAGCTGGATTGTCTGTCTTAAGTAGAGCAGAGTATGTGGCTCTGTGTGCTTGGAAAGTGAGTTTGTCGAGTGTGTGATTCTTTCAACTGAATAAATTAAAAGGCATCTCATGCAGTGAAAATGACGCTCAATAAACAATATGGATTTAGTCTAATGTTTAATTATGAACTTTGAATACAATGCAGAACAATGTCATGTATTTTATATTTGACTTAAGAAACATTTATGTTTTAATTTAAACCCATTTTTTACTAAACTGACAAGAATTGTACATTTTGAAATTGAGCAATATTAATGCAGTGTGTGATGTACTGACATCGTTGTCATAATAACAGCTCAATTTAATGTATGTATTTTTTATATAATAGAAAAGTGTAAATGATTTTGTGTGTGTTGCAGATCAAGAGGTGGGAGACAATAGCAGCAGCGTCGGAGCTCAGGGCTTTTCCATAAGAGCTTCTCCAAAGACCACCCCACGGTGCGTCCACACACGTACACCCACGCATACACACACATGTACACACACACACACATGCTCCTGTCCCATTTACATTCCTGCAGCTCCCTCAGTCACCCCTCCCCCACTCTGCTGTTCCCCTCTCTGGCCCCTCGCTTGCTCTCTGCACACACACTCAGCTACAGGCAATTCTCGCTCTCTCAGCCAACGATAACTTGTGTTTTTGAAGGTGGTAACCGTCCTTTAACTCCAGTTAAATTTTTTAGTTCATATTAACCACATGACTGCACAACCTGATGACTTTTTCTGTCATGCTTCAGGCCTGGTTCATGGGCATGGATTTGTCTGGGATGTGTCGCATAACAAGCTTGATTCGTTTTCAAAATTAGTTTATTTGCATCAATTTATATCAAAGTTGTAGCTATAATTGTAAAAACAAAATAAAAAAATAAAAAATCTATAATAAGAAAAAGGACACATATACAAGAATAATAAATCTGACTTTTTAAAATGTATTAATATTTTTGAAATCATCAATTAAGAAAAAAATAAGAAAAACTGACATCTGCTCAAGATATCAGATTTTCTTATTTTTTCCTAAATTGAATTGTTTTATTCCATGTTTGCGTACAGCTTTCTGGCTGTACGCAACGTTTTGAATGTGCTTTATAACTAAAGTTGGTATGATAAAAGAATTAATACATGTCAACAAAAATACAAAACGCTTGTTGTCTCTATTTTGCAGCTCACTGCCTAAACTTGAGTGCTGCAAAATCGATTCGAGGGTTTATTAAAAGTCCATACATACGTCCTTTGGCCTCAGTCACTTCTGAATGTCCTGTCTCTCGATCTGTCGCTCACTTCCTCTTTATCACACCGCGATGGAACGCCTGGCCCCTTTTCATTAGGGGCCACTGTAACAACAAATTGATGTAGTTTTATAGCCGGCAGTGTCTATGTTTGTCTGACGTTTATGTTTGGTTGTTAATCTCCCCATTGACCTCTTCATCTCTCTCTCTCACTCTTGGATCATGCAGCTCTCCCATTGGTGGCCTACAGATCCGGTACGACTCTTCAGGGTCGTTGCCAGGGCAGGGCCTTGGGTTGCTAGGGCCGGGCGGAGGTGAGACGCTGCCCCCGGTGGCGACCAGCATCGAGCAGCTCCTGGAGAGGCAGTGGAACGAGGGTCAGAGCTTCCTGCTTCAGCAAGGGGCCCAGGGCGATGGTGAGAGCGCAGTGGGCAGAGTATTCTTACACGCTCATGGGTGGGGATTATCCGCATATGGTGGAACTTGATGATTCATTTGTTTTCTTTTCATTTGTCACTCCTCATATGTGTATCCTGAACGAGTTTTCTTATTTTTATTTTTCACAAAGCAGACAGTTGAAATTCCAAAATAGGCTTGCAATTGCCGTAAAGGTATTTAAGTAGATTTTTGTACCAATGGTGTAAATAAATAATTGTTGCTAGCACACAGCCCACCAAGTCTGTTTATGTAGCCGGTTAGCAGCCAACGCCGTTTGATTGTGACTGACATGAAGGACAAGCCCTTCCAAAGGTCTTTAGCTGCGTCAGCCCCTTTGATAAGTGCTAATTCAGCTGTGTGTGTGTTTTGTCAGTGGTGGGCATGCTGAAGTCGCTGCACCAGCTGCAGGAGGAGAACCGCAGACTGGAGGAGCAGATCAAAACACTGACCATGAAGAAGGAGCGACTACAGCTTCTGAGCGCTCAGCTGTCCGTGCCTTTCACCCCGTCCTCTGGTAAACTTATAAATAAAATCACATGTCACAGTGGGAATGTCTAGTATGTGTGTCATGTACTTAGAATATTATCAATATTGTTGAATAATATGTTTGAATGGATAATTAACAGTATTGTTAATATGGGTGTGAAAGAAAAAATGTATACCATAAACAAAATATCAGGATTGTGTCAATATTGTGGGTGAGTGGTTTCAACGCGGGTATTGTATAATATCATTGTTTTTTTATTATAAATATATTAATTATCAGATATTTTTTTTGTTCTGCTGCAGGTAGTGTTTTGGTAAACGGAAAACAAAACACAAAACAAAAAATGACATTTTCATTTTGTTCTCCTTGTTTTTAATGAAAAAATATATCTAATATTTTTAATTATTGATTTCTACTTAAAAATGAACTATATATATTTTTTTTAATTAAAAGATGTCTTTGGTAAATTATAATAAATATTTTGTTGATATCTGGGTATGCTTTTTCCAAATTGGAACAATTAGAATGAAATCTTTAGTGCATAATTGTCTCACTGTCCATCTGAAGTAAATATGATACAATATGTGTTTGACAGATGTCAAAGTTGGTGCTGCTGACTCTTCCCTTTCTGCTGCTGCTCAGGTAGGTGTGTGTGTGTGTGTGTGTGTGTGTGTGTGTGTGTGTGTACACTGAATAGTTAGTAACAGTGTGTTTGATGTGTTTAGGATAGTGCATCATGCGGCGGTCACAGCAGCAGTGGCTCCACCTCCTCCTTGTCCACCCCTCCCTCCGTGTCCCAGAGTCCGCCTCAGATCAATGGGGTGGGGGCATTAGGGGCAGGTGTGTCCGGGCTCATGGGGACACTGGGGGCAGGAGCCACTCTGGGCATGGGGGGTATCGTCGGAACACTGAATGGGGTCATTCAGACTCCTGGTGGGACAGGAGCAGCTCTCACGGTCAATAACAGGTACATCATGTTGTAAGTAATAGTCAGAATTCAGACTGTTACGGCTGTTGAGTGCGCTAATGCCTCCACGTGGAGCTTGTATGTTCCTCCCTGTGTCTCTCGGTGGGTTTCCTCTGGGCACTGCAATTCCCATACCACCCAAAAAAACAAAATAAACGATCGGCATTAAGAATGTGGTATGTGAATGATGGTAGAGGAGCAATGGCACAGACTTGTGTAGCACTTCAACAAGCCTGTAAAGCGCTTTACAAGTGGAAGCATTATTTTCTTAGTTATTATTAGAGTTGAGCTATTTCATCCAAGAATCAAAGGCCATTTATCTGGATTTTACCATCTTAAAAAGAACACTTAACATATTAGTTTAGCTGCTAACTATTTCAGCAGACAAAGCTCGTATTCCTTACTTTTGTGCAGGGTGACAGTCACATTAAAAACCATGAAGAATTTAACACAAATTCCACATCCCACAACTTTGCCCGGCCCCCCTGCTGTCCGCCCGCTGACAATCGCCAACAATGTGCGCCAACAACTCAAGTTTGTAAAATAAAAGTTATTTAAGGCAAAAGTTTATAGACTGCGCTTATGCAGTGGGGGTGAGACGGCCTTTAGCTCGGATCACAGGTGTTTTCTCTCCCTATGAGGTCACACTGCTCTGTGATTAAGTACAATAAATAGTTTTCTTGTATTCATGTTAAATCACCAATCATAAATTGTGACAACCAATATAAGGTTCGTGCAGACCGTATTTACTTTGTTCCTCTGGAATGTATTTCTGACACTTCTGTATTGTTCATGCGTGGGTCGTACTGAATGTGACGCCCGGTCATTGCAGTATTTGGAATTTAGGTGTTTGCCATATTAGCTTGACACAATACTACACTCTGTTGAGATGCAAAACTCAGTAAATGGCCTCTTTATGTTGAGAATGTAATTTCACAACATTGGGACAATGTAGATTTTACCTAACTATATGGGATATGTTTTTATGTTGAAAATTAATAATATAAAAATAAATTAATTGTAAAGTATTAAATTCAATCCATTTCACATGACAAAAAAGACAGCACTTAAAACATCCTCATTTGGTATTTTTCATTTTGAAATCATTATTATTCTGGTTTTGTCCTATGCTTGCTATTGGGATTGAAGCAGCACAGCTTCCAGTAAGAGCAGGTGAGCTATGACTTGTAGTCGTTGCTGTAGTGGTGTGTTTTCGTGTCATTTCAGTTGCAAACAATTGCAGGTCACATGAATTGGAATACTGTAGGGCAATGTCCTCTGCTGAGGGCTGACACGTGAGGACAGTTGTACATGTGTCTAAAGTTTTGTTTTGTTGGCAGTGCTGCGCGGTTCCTCCTGCAGCAGCATCAACATCAGCTACAGCAGCTGCTGTCCTCACAGCCTTCAGCGGTACGACACACACACTCAGGGCTTAGCATTGTACACTGCCATGAGATCTGCTACAGGCTCTTGGCCTCTTCTACACACTACTGTGTTCTTTCAAATGTGAGATACACAAACTCCCCAAACAGCCTCAATCTGAAACTCCAAGGCTACATAGCACTCATGTTTGTTTGTTTATTAGTAAGTTTCATTTAGTTGTCTTGTATTTTAGATAACTGCTGTTTTCTTTGAAGATAACCCATTGATCTATTTGTTTACCAGGAACAGCAGCAGGTGTTGCTCTACCAACTGATGCAGCAGGACCTGCAGGGGCCCTCGTCTGCTCAGAACCCCTTCCTCCAGCACCCGGATGTCCCAGGACAGAAGCCTCGTCTCACAGAGCAGGCAATGGGAGTCGGAGGACAGGAGAAAACATGACCCTCACTTTAACAGTCTCTTAAATGTATATATAAATATACATATATATATATATATATATATATGTATGTATATGTATGTATGTATGTATATAAGTATATATGTGTATATATATATATGTATATATGTGTATATATATATATATATATATATATTTTATATATATATATATATATATATATATAAAATATAAAAATATATATATATATATATATATATATATATATATATATTTATATATATATATATATATGCAGGGATGGTTGTAGAGCTACCTGTTGCTTAAAATCTGAGTCCTAATCTGGTCTAAGCTTTCACATCAATATAGTTTATTTCATTTTAAACAGAGTTTAGTGAAATAAATAATATTTATTTTTCTTTTAATTTAGTTGTAGTGCTGGTTGATTTTCCTAATTTACCATTGTGTTTGCAATATCTATCTCCATTTTGTCAAACATATTTCTTGTGAATATTCCTCTTCATCTTGTTTCAAATTTCTAGTGTAATTATGTTTGTTTTTTTAACTCCTAATTTCACCTCGTCTGGTTACACTGCTGCTTCACTTTCTCAGGGGCCTCAGCTAACCAGAGCTGTGCAGTTGGCAGCACACTAGCTAGCATACAGAAGCTAGCACACGAGCACTAAAAATACTGCAAAGAAAAACTGTCAAGTATTATGAAAATGCAGCTCCCTATGACAGGCCGTACCAGTAGCAGAGTCATGTTTTACATGTGTCTTGGCTGTCCCAAGGCGCGCTGTGGGAGATGTGCATCAAAAAAACGGCAGCCTTTTCCTTTGTCTCTTCATCTATGTATGTATTAAAATGATTGAGCCAAGTCTTGTGTGTCACCGAAGACGCCTTTTTCTGCTTTTGACTGTCTCTTTGGGCAGATACAGGGGGCTTATGCAGCAAAAACACTTAACTTGAATGTGGCAACGGAGCTGTTAATTTTCCTCGTGAATATCAGTGCAGCTGACTGAGCCCCCTGTTGTAGCTACCTCCAGCAGGACCTGCCAACAAAGACCTGGGGCCACACCAGCGGCCTGTTCAAACCCAACAGCCAGGGTCTAGACCCAAGTGCCTAAAGGCGGAGAACTGAATTACCCCGTTTGCCCTCTTTTCTAGCCACTGATAATTAAGCTACAATATTACTAATACTAATACTGAGTCATAATCTGCTGCTTTTCCTCAAAGTCAAAGCCAACTTTATGATGTGCTTTTTATTTATTTCAAATGTGTTTGTGCAAGATGATATATTTTAAATTCCAACTGGTGTAACTGATAATTTTCTACTTCTGTGTATAATTTTGTTTTACTTATTCAGTCAATTCTAGCTGTTTCTGTTGTTGTTTTTAAATGTTAGAAGAATACTACTTGATAGTTGGCTGAGGGTTGGCTGTACATAGCTGTTTGTAGATGGGAGAAATAATGTGTCCAAGGGCGTTCGCACAGTTTTTACCTCATAAACTGTACATAAATGGTAAATTCCTCATTGGTCAGTGGTGTACATAAAATGTTGTGACTGAACATTGCTGGTTTGAAGAAAAACCAAGGAAGTCTGTTCTTTTGTGTGAATCTGAAGACCAGATGAAATGTTTTCAGTGACTGGATACAAAGTATTAATTTATTTTTGATATGTGCAGGGACATTGTGTTTAAGTTTTGCACCATTTTCTTGAGTCTTTTTATACTTGCAAGCACCATGTTTTCATCTGTGCACACGTCTTGATCAAGTTTTGTATAATAAAAAAATATTGTATTTGATCAACAAAATAAAGAAGCACTCTGGATATGTGTTCTTTTGGGATGAGGTAATTTACACACTTTACATTTAAAAAAATGACCCTTTTATGGCGCATGCCTTAAACGTCATCGAGGGCGTCATTGATCGTATAGAGAACAATAGTCATGGATCTATTATAATAACGGTCTCACGTGTTACGAGGCTCCTGTCACACACTCACGCACAGCGCACGCTGGAGCTGATGACTTCCAGCTGCCGCCAAACGCCAGTGCGCGCTCAGAGGTAAGGGCACCGTCCTGCTACATCTGCTTCTGCCCAAATAATTAAAAGCTCACTTTCCCCCTGCACTCCCACCCCTCAAAACGGCCCCCAATGTCCCCTCGAGGGGCTCCTGGTTCAGCCCCCCATGTCCCCTTGACGAGCTCCTAGTGCCCCTTTTCTTCACTCAGCGTTCACCCCTCCTCCCCATCCGCTCGCTATCAGAGCTGTCAATCAAATTCACTCACTCCCGCCCCTTCGCATCCACTTATCGCGCGCGCACAAACGGGCACGCGCATGTCCATCATCGATCACACAGGACCCCTGTGTGCGGTCACACCAGGTGCCTGATCAAAAGTCAAAGCGACGAAGCTCCGTGGGTGTGCAAAAAGCTACAGAGGCTGCAGGGGGTCAAGCCGGGGGTGACTCCACAAAAGCCAGGACCATAGCCACATAGCCAGGACCGAGCCGCTGGCACTGTGACCACACAAACTATTGTTTTGAGGAAGTGTGGTTAAAGGTTGACCTTTTGTGATATTATTTTCAAACATTTTTGATTGAGGACTTGTGATTTCCAATGTCAAATTTAGTCGCGTTTAGGTTTTGAATAGTGTTTTACTGACAATCTTGATTTTTTTTTTTTGTCGGCTTTGTTTATTCAGGTACTATCACACCCAATAACCAGATCATGAACAACATTGATTTCATTAAGGACAACAATGAAGAATTCATGTTCAAGTAAACGCACTTCAATATATCGTGAGTGTGACTGTAGGAAAACTGACACAAAATACTCCAGTACAAGTACAATCCAGAGTGGTCCTTCTTGTAAACCGTCCAACCAAAACAAAAAACAATAAATAGATAAATTAAATTTTGTAAATCCCAACAAGTTCATAATCTCTGTACACAGCAGCCTAAATATTGTATTACTTAGATATATGCGACGGAAAGACACCGCAGATGTTCCAAACAGAACAGTACTTGTTCAGTGTAAGATTCTATCATGATTCCTGAATATGACCAATTTACTAAGTAGTTTACATGTGAGAAACTGATAACAAGCAGGCAGCAGAGAATAAAAAGCACATGTTTGAGACAGCTGGTTCGAGATCATTTAAACGAGTAGCCACCGTGGGGCGGCACGGTGGCTGAGTGGATAGCACTCTTGCCTCTCAGCAAGAAGGTCCTGGGTTCGAATCCCGGTCGGACCAGGGCCTTTCTGAGTGGAGTTTGCATGTTCTCCCCGTGTCTGCGTAGGTTTCCTCCGGGTACTCCGGTTTCCCCTACCACTAAAAATATGTCCAATAGTTCTAGAATGCGCCTCCTGTACCGGCGACCCCGCTCCCATCTCTGTGTGGAGTGAGAGATAAATGCCCATAATTAACAATTGTAAAACCGCTTTGAGACTCAGATCTGCAGTGAAAAGGCGGTATATAAATAAAGATTACTTACTTACTTACTTAAAGCCCGCGTTATCCTAGTTCACCTGGAGGAAGACAATTTACAAATTGGAATATGAACACAAACGAGCAAGTGTTCCAGCCTCATACGGGCAAAATGTTTCAAAAACATTTACAGAGTAGAAAGTAGAAATAGTTTAATCCTGAAGAGAATCACAAAGGTGTTTTAAAAGGACAGCTGAGCACGTCCCATGGAGCTGGCGGTGATTGTTGTGACCCCACTGCTCTATATGGACAACTCCTTGACTTTGTCCTTGCCACAACATATTATGCTCTCTAAGTTAGGATTTATGAAGGCAAAAACGTTACAGAACAAAAAATGATATGAACTATGAAATTACCTTAAATGCTATTTTATTGTTCACATTTTGTAACGTATGACTAATAGGCCCAAAAACTATTGTCACATTTTGTGTAAAAAACAGCAGTCGTTAAAAATAAAGGCTGCAATTCGGTTAAAATATGTCAACTGTTGATATCTTTGTTTGCTGGTTATTCGAGTGAAATTGCGGTTAAATGACTCTTTGTTGCCTGGTGCTTTCACGGCTCCACGGGAGTCAGCGGCTCGGACTGTGTCCTGCAGCCGCCTGTAGAACCTCTGCGCCCGGGCACAGGCTCAAAGAACTGCCGCTGCTTTCGGCTGCCTGGAATGACATTGAGGCGAAACCGCGGCTTTCCGCGACCTTCATTCGGACTCGCACAGACTGTGGGGCAGACGTGTGGCTGAACAGCAGCAGCAGCAGCGTCTGAAAGCGTGGCTTTTGTGTCGTCTGCTTTTCCCCTTTGTGGCTGAGTGCGCGGGGAAATACAGCACGAGCCGCTCGTACACACACACACACACACACACACGGGTACTTTACCACTGACATTAAAATGGAGTTCATTTTATCTGTATTTATTAACAAATAGACTAATCACACCTATAAAATAAATTCTTGTCCTATCATTAATAGTTTGTTTTGTTTTGTTTTTTGGTTTTTGTGGCTGGTTGACAAAGCACAAACAATAAGAAGCGTCTCAGAACTGGATTTAAATGGATTTTTAAATCCACTTAAAACATTTCTGTTATTTCTGAGTTATTTGTATTGAGAAAAGGTACACTGTAGTAGCTCTGAATAGCTTTTGGTATAATAAATGTGATCTTTTGGTTCTATAATGAGTATGACAGGACATAGGTCTTAGTCTGGTTTAAGCATTAGGTATAAAAATAGCCCAGACATTGAGCACGAGTATCATTACTGATAATTACTCTTACTTGACGTAACATTCCCAGCTGTGTTGGGAAAAAATGTATGCATCCTGATCATACCATAACATTTTTGCACACAGCGCCGTCTTCTGCAAACATCATCCAGTTGTTTTGTTCACCAAAACTGATAATTTTCAATAAAAAAAATAATGGGATATTTCTTTTTGTACTACATTGCCTTGCTATCAACTAATAGGTGTCTTTACTAGAACAGTGCAGCCAACACTGGGTTGGAATCCCTTGCATCCTAATTTTTAATTGTCAAATCGTGGCTTGAGCGAGCAGTAAGGATAAATGAGCCCACAACAGGCACGAAAGAGACCTGGGATTTCTCTAAATGCAGCAGCTGTTGAATGGTATAGACCGGGTAACATAATGGTACACTCTTGTGTGTGTGTGTGTGTGCGTGTGTGTGTGTATCCACCTCCCTCCCTCATCAACCTATCAGCAAAACTCATTTATTATGCAGACTGGAGACCCTTGGGCTGAAAGTGAAGGTTGTGTGTTCCTATTTGTGTATTTTGTAAATATGTGGTAGAAAAACAGCTGATTTAGTTTTAGTCTCCACCCTGAGAGGGAGAGGGCAGAGAGGCTCAGCCATTTGTGTGAATCTACAGTCATTGAAGGACTTGTTGCGTTGCCTCGAGGTTCAAATTCAGTATTAGCTCAATTAATTGTTTTATGGCTAAATCAGCTTGTGTGTGACTAGCACAGACCTTGGGAAGCAGATACAAAGGAGATTACGTCTGTGAAGTGAAGGAACCCCCACAGCCTCTCCTGGTGAACTGTAAACATACTTGAGCCTGTGTTTGGACACAAATCAGCATTGTATAAGAATTTCAATTGTTTTTTTCCATAAAAGTGGCAACTTGACTGCATATTGCATCTGGCCTTCATCAGCAAGCGATGAATACAGAGCAAAAATCAGTAACTTTGACACATCTTATCAACTAGTTAAAGACTTTTGTCCCAAATCAAACAAAGACTTGAAATGCTATAGAATGAAGGCACTGTTGACACACCTAGATTATAAAAGCTTTGGTTTAATCTTTTAAAAGTCCCAGGGTAACGATGAAGATGGGTAAAAAAAGCCAAGTGAGGGGGGTGGAAGAGGAGTAGAAAGACAGGGGAGGAGAGAAACTCAATCTAAAGCACCAGGTGCTGCTTTTGTGGCCATAATCTCCGAGCCCTTGAGAGCGCGCTCTCTCTGGCCACCGCACATGCGTACACGTTCGTACACGTGCATACACGTGGGTACACATGCTGACGCTGCACCCAGCACTTTGCTCTCTGGCCACTGGACTGCTAAAGGACTGTGAGGTCGGATCCTAATTTCAAATAAAATAAGGAAAACAAAATCTGTTGATGTAAAACAACAGAACGATGAATCTGCTCTTGACCCGCCACAGAGATTAAGAAATACCCTAAATAAATGTTTTCTAGCTGAATTTTGATGATTTTTCCCAACTTGGGAAGGGACATTAAGAACCCGCAACAGTGATTAAAAGGGTCTACTTTAATCACGGTGGCGGATCATATTGTCCAGGGGGTAGCACAGGGGTTAAATTGATTGTCACAGTATGGTGGAGAGTTACTTTTTTATTGAAAAGAGAGTTTTAACAGCAACATTGTTTGCTGGTGATAAACCGTCTGGTATCATGTGAGAATGCAACTCTTCACCTTGGAAATGTCTAACAGTGTTAGTGGTCACGAACAAGAAACAAAACTCTAGATAAAACAAAAAGCATGCTCACTGCAACAAGAGTCCAAATTCAGGTAGAAGTGGATGGTGCAATGCTGCACAGAGTATATACTTTATATGAACCAGTGCCATATGACATAATAGAAGAAAGTGTGCATTTTTTGAAAATATTTGAAAGAGCCATAGGCCCAGTTTATACTGAGACGATGCGCAGACGTTTCCAGGCTATAAACTGGAACTATAAACGGCCCCATAGCTGCTTATAAGTACATCTGAGGCTATGTTTACACGGAGACAATGTGGCAGTAAAACGCTATAGTTGGATGTCGGTTGCTACCAACCGTTCATACAAAGACTGTGTTCCAGGGGGGTGAAAACTTAAGTGTTCAGATCCAGCCTGCAGAGTGGAACAGCTCAGAAACGCTGCACAGCGGGGAGCTCTTTCCCACCCGCGAGAGGGAAAAAGGTGTGAAATCCCCCTCTGCTCTGACCCCCGCCTCCCCGCTGCTCCCCGCACGTAAATTTGGACATGCGCAGTAGCGGAGAACAAACATAAACAACAATGGCGGCGGTCACACTAACTAGCTTCGTGGGCTTTCAGCGCTGCACAGAGGAAGATTCTACTCCTTCGTTCGTCCAAACGAGACCACGCGATGTTCTAGGTTCAGTTTCCATTTTCCCAGCTGCTGTTATAAGGCAGAATGATGTTGGTACTTTCTGAGGGTCTGGCACAGGAAGTGAGTACACTGCCGAGAGGGGGGCTGGGCACGGGACTGGGGGTCGTGTGAGTGTTGTAAAGTTTCTCTGCCCACTACTGGCCGGGCGCTAGAACTACATAGTTTTTCAACCTCATGTGAACGCTGAGAAATTTGCATTAGGAGCCTGGTCGTTTCTGCTAATAGCCTGGAAACGTCTGCGCAGCGTCTCAGTATAAACAGGGCCTGATTGTGGAGCTTACTTCCTCTGACAATGTTATATCTATTATTCTATATCTATATATGGAAAATTCCTGAATTTGAAGGTAAACACTAAATATTAGTTCAGTAGTTAATTGTTTATTATATTAAACTCTTCTGAATGGTATGTTGCTGGAAATATATAAATAGGCAAGAGATCATTTAGGATGATATACTTGTTAAACCTCCTCCTCTCCGTTTGAGGTTCATACTTCTTAGTGTATTCCTTATCAATAATCGTAACTGGTTTCTTTACAAATAGCTCTATGTGTTTTAATGTTGCATTTCCTGTGTGTTTCAAATGTTTGATTCTCTGATCTGTGTTGGCGAGTCGACAACTTTGTAAAGTCCTCCGAGATAACTAACTTCTTTTAGAATTAGAAAGAATAAATTCAATTGAATCTTGCCATTGACTGACATTGTGAATTGAATGTTTTTCATGTGTTTTAACAGATGTTCAAATAAAAAAACAAATAAATAATCAATGGGTTTTAGCGCAGTGGATTTTGACTGACCGGGTGTCCCTTGTCTACAATCCCTCACCTTCATCCCTTAAGCTTGACCCCTAAACTCCTGTAAAGCCTAAGTAGGAACAAAGCCAAGGACGATGCGGGCTGCTTATTGTGATTTAATCTTGGCGTCTCGTCTCTGCACTGGTAGAACAAACATCAAATATGGACCTTATCAGGCTGGCCCGGCTCTATCTATCACCAATCAATATCTTCTATTCTGTGGGTCGGCTCGTATGTGAGCGCAAAACTGGTCTCGAGGGCTGCGCTAACTAAGGTCAAAGATCAGGCATAACCCAGCAGTGTGGAATGACAGATGTGGCCTGAGGTAAACAAGATAAAAGAAGGGGAGAGAAAGGCAAGAATGGGAGGTTTTAGACCAGTTGCATGTGTCCTAAACAAGAGATCAGAAAACTGAAAGCTTTTCTCATTGCTGAAATTTGCTACAGGCAGCACCTCACCTGACTGTAAATGAACCTAGGACAGTGTTTAGGAGATATGGACTTTCATATACTCACATGCTGAAATGTTTTGGAAGAGAAAGACTTGTTTTGTGTTCTCAATGTGACTTTGTGACTTGTTAAGTTGTATCGCGAAATACATGTTGCATATTTTCTGGCAACTCCAAAAGTGCTATGACACCATCAAACTGCCTATAAACCTGCAAAATGCATCAGAACGGCAATGGCAGTTACAGATATATGGAGAGGAAGAGAGAGAGAGCGAGGGGTGCAATCCTTTGTTCTGTCAAGGACTTAACACAATCAGAGAGTACAGTGTGTCAGGAGCGCACAGGCATATATCAACTTCAATCTCTTTTTAATGAAAAATCCTGCCCTCTCTAATATGTGCAAATTAACCTCTTCTCCTCCCTCCTCCCCTCCTGTGTTTCCCCTCACAGAGGCCCCTCAGCTCTCTCTCTCACTCCCTTTTCTGTCATTCTTCTTAAGACACCTTTCTTTCAGCGAGCTTTACTTTTGCTGGCGCTCTCATATTTAGGTGGGCAGCAGAGGAGGGAGGAGCTGATTAGCTTGTTGCTTCAGTCACCGGTTCAATTTTAACCCAACCCCCATGGCAATTACCAAATCAGTTTGCCTTGAAAAAGGCAAAAACAAAGATAACAGTAAAGCGGGAAAACATGTTTGTGTCCATTCAGCGGCTGTGCTCGGCCTCCACCAGCTCGCACACATCAAGTCGTGCTATTACCATGATTATCGTGATGAGTCGCTCAGATCCGCAGCTTCTCATTCTGCCCATGCTGATTGTAATTTAGAAATTACACCTAATGAGATTTTTTTATTATTATATCTGATCTGTGCTGCCAGCTCTGCAGC